AGTACCGGAACATGTCGATGGCGCTTTTTTCGCCCGTGTAAGCCAGGGACAGTCAACATTCAAATTACAACTGTTCAATGAAGCTATTCGTAAACAATACAGGACTGCGTCTAGTCGATAGGGCCTTCATCAGAGCTTTCTTCAAGGCCTTTCTGAGTAGCCCCGGCTTCAATCTGCACCTCCCTGATCTTCGTGATGTCAACAAAGCGCTTATTCGGGTCCGCAGTAGCAGCCTTCTTTTTATTCTTTACAAGCTCCAACTACGCCCGCTACATAGCGACTTCGTGTTGAAGTAATGCTAGGTCGACGTCCTTCCGGCTGAAGCCTTTTGCGACCTTCTTGAACAGCTCCCGCTGTACCCTGTTAATCTTCTTCTCGATGTTGAATTTGGCTAGCTAAATCGTTAGGTCCGCTACCTTGTAGGGAGTCTTCCACATGCCCGGATCCTCTATTATTTCGGAGGGCTGTGGAGTAGTGGTCAACAGTTGGACCGCTGCAGTAGTTGTGGCCTTCTTGACTCCATTCGCGTTTCCCAGTACAAGGACTACGTAGGGCCTTATGCTTATTCAGGGGCCATAACCCGGCGGCATGCCAGCCTGCCTTGCAGTTTTCCTGCCTCACAGCGATCTCCCAAGCCTTATAATAACACATAAGCATCGTCCTTTTATCCACAAGCGTAGCCTCTGACTGTACGGTCGTCAAAGTCAGGAATTTTCTATACAGTTACTTCAGTGACGAGAAGACGCCCAAATCGAGAGGCTGTACAACGTGCGATACGTGTGAGGGCAGGTAAACAAGGTAGATGTTATTCAGGAAGCATGGCCACATGTAGTCGAAGGTTATGTAACTGTGGTGACCGTCAAGGACTAGCAAGCGGGCCTCTCTAGGGTCCTCCGGAGCCGTACCCGGAATGAAGACGTCGCGAAGCCATTTCAGGGCAATTTCGTCGTCGGTCCAGCCCTTATTTTGGGTCGTGAACTTCCATTTCTTGAATAGCTTCAGCCCCAAAGGAAACCACTATTGTTAAACCTTCTACCCCTTGAAAATAACGCATGGTCGAAGTGCCTGCTCGGCGGCCGATATGCGTTCAATGAAGGAGATCCAGGTGCGGGCCCCGGGGATCTCTTAATCAGAGTCTTATATTCCTTGGACCCTAGGACTATGCCGTTGCTACCCTGGCCTTCCTGCACGCCTTTATCGTCTTTACTCTAACGGTTCTCGGGCTTGATATCCCTAACGGCAGGAAGGTCTAAATGCTTAAACCAAACCTCCATTATTTCCCTCGTGGCACCGTTGAGCCTCACGGAGTCAACACGCTTCGCTCTTTGGGTGGCGATTTGAGGATTTCTGGGCTATTTAAGACCATTTCCAGCGCGTTTGACACGCACTATTCGTCGCAGTCGCACATGATGATGATACCCAGTCCATTTTGCGTCGAATGCAGCACAAAAGAAGGAATTTGGAAAAGAATTGAAGAAGTTGTGCGTGTTGAAGCGGTGTGCGCGCGCGAAGGAAGTGGTGGCGTTGGTGGCTTACACGGCATGTTCCGCTTCTAGGGTGTTCCGCTTTTGGCATAGTTGACTTAATGCACTAATAAATGTTATTCGGTCACAGTATGGCACCGAAGATCGTGCTGGGTTCTTCACAAAGTTCTGTTAGCTAGGGGGCAAACTGTGCAGTAACAATCTCTTCTCCCCGTCTAGTCCTTCACCCGGCCCTTCAAGGCATTCGGGCGATAGCATTCCTACCTTTGGCAGCCATTCATTTGCTTCTGTCTAATACTGCCACTAAGTTAACTAACCCTGATTTGGCCACGCCACACATTCGGCCCGGGCGCCACGCGTACTCACACAATGCGACGCCTTACATTTGAAGCTATAGAAAAGGGTCAAATCAACTAATTACAATGCAGCCTTCGACTTCTTACTCATATTCCGAGGTCTCTGATTCGTCAGAACCGTCAATATTGTGCCCCACTGCCCTCTGCGTTTTGCGGATGTGTTCAATCGTAGCAAACTTGGAATTTGGGCTCAATTCCACCTTCTTCTTACTGCCCTTCTTGTTCTCAATCTCGCCAGGGAGACCGTAAGGTCTGTGACCTTGTGGGGAGTCTTCTAGACGCCGTATTCATCATTACCTGTTGCTGTAGGTAGGCTGATGACCTGGCTTCCTCTAGGGCACATGAAGCTGTATTCGTTGTGCCTTTATTCCTGTTTTCAGGCAGCAATTTGCTTCTCAAGGGCTTTTGCCTGTTGATAGGTCACAACCCGGCGGCATGCCAGCCTGGCTTGGAGTTGCCAGGCTCAAGTGCGGTTTTCCAGGCTCTATAATAATAAAGTAATATAAGGCGGCGTCCTAGGACCGTACTGTGTATCAACGTCGGCCTGTTATTGAGCTCCTTTCTATATGCCCCCTTTAGGACCGAGAAAACGGTCAAATCGAGAGGTTGAAGTACGTGAGAGGCGTGTGGGGGCAAATAAAGAAGATGAATGTTGTTATGGAAGCATTCCCACATATAATTATCAGTGGTATGACTGCCGTAGCCGTCAACGATAAGTAGTCGTTTTTCTCCGTTAGCTGGCCGGGCCCTAGGAATGAAGACATTCTGAAGCCATTCCAAGGCGCTTTTATTGTCAATCCAGCCTTTTTCCTGGCTTGTGAAGTGCCAACCGACGAAGCGTTTGAGCTTTTCCGGGTAGTGTTGTTATTGAAGGGTCTTTCCTTTCATAATGGCCGCAGGACGTAGGGAATGGCCAGTTGCAGAGATGCATTCCACGAAGGTAGTCTAGCTGCGAGATCCGTCGAGCAAAAAGTAAACAGACCGAAAGAAACCTCTCCGATGAGCAGGAAAGCGTCCTAGCCGACTAGTGCCTCAATGAAGAAGCTGCAGGGCGTGCGCCTAGCCGTCGTCAGGCCCAGAGATTCGCTCAAGCTATACTTAATGAGGCTGGCACGAAAAAGATCGTGGGCGAGCGATATGTAGATCGCTTCCTACGCCGCAACCCGGCGGTGAAAATGAAGCATTCGGCCTTGTTGGAATCCTCTCGCGTCAGAGGCTCTACTCGTGAGGCTTACGAAGATTTTCACAAGCGCCTGGCCTTTCAGATCAAGGCTGAAAAGGTCAAACCGGCCAACATCGCCAACATGGACGAGCACGGCATGCAGGAGCTTGAGAACCGGGCCGGAAAGGTCATCGGAGGCTCCCTAACGAACCGAACCTACCTATAAAGCCACTGCCTCCGCCACAGAGGTAAAAGCCGGGGGCACGGCAGCCGCTCCCACCCCGGCGCCGTCGCATCCTGGCGGGTCGGCAACAGAAGCAGGCCCCCATCTGAATGGCGCCAATCTTGACCTCAGGAGCTTCTTTGGCCCCGGTGATAATAACATGGTAAACCGCTTCGACCTGGCAGCTGTAATAATGTTGCTGCTCAGGTCTCTCGGGAAAACGCCAGACGGCACAAGCGTGAGTAAACAGACCCCCCCTTCAAAAAAGAAAAAAAGAAAAAGAAACAAGACAGAAAGAAAAACCCGCGCTGACACGATATTACTACTTGCGTCAAACTAGGTAATAACAAAGCCTAGATGCGTGTGGAATTACCCGTGGGATTACATAAACGAGGGCCCTGTATTTGGCCAGGCCGGCACACATGCCCACAGATGTAACAGCCCGTTCTGGGCTGACCTTGACTTTAATATTCACTACTAACCCCTTCTTTCTGATCAAAAAAGTGCTAACCCTTCAACCAACTATTTAGCAAGCATAGTGTCTGGTATCATCAACTAGCAAGTCCACACGTTCGATTTAATTACGGTATTCATGGCCGGGCCATTTTGGCCAGTGTGTGGGCTACCGATCCTGTCCGACGACGAAACCCTCCTCAGGTCCCCCCACCCCCCCATCCCCGCCCCTCCGAGTCGTCTCACCCTGGCGTGAAATGTCTCGGGGAAAATTAAGGACGTGAACCGGGCAGTTGGGTGAAAACAGGGGAAAAAAAGAATGGAGAGGCGGACACGATAAAGAAAAGGAAAAAAAAGACAATGGCAAGCTGGAGGAAAATTTGCTGGACAAATTCGGACCCCCGGGGAACGGAATCGACTGGATTCGGGCACCACCGCACCATTTCATTGTACAGGTACATTTGAAATACTATCCAAGGGGAGCAGGTCTCCGAGCTTTGCTCCCACACTTATAAAAATAATAGACACCATTATTTATCTCTCCCCCTAACCCCATTCTCCCTTGCATATCTGCCTGCATGTGCTTGATTGCTTGTGCTTGCTGGCAACTCTCTCTGGCCTGAATGGAACGAAACACTTTGATGAACCCTCAAAGAACATATATTAACAGCTATGACTCAAACTGCAATCGTGGCATTGTAAGACAAAAACAGGATTGCTGGCCCGCTCAGTCCAATGCCTGTGCCATTGAATTGGGCAAGGGGGGGCCGCTCCTGTGCGCTGTAAAAAAGCCCGTGTGTATATATAAGTGGACCGCCTTTTTCAGTTGCCCCGCTTTTGTATTCTGTGTTCTAATTGGTTGCAACTTCCCCTGTAGGCCATGTGGGTGGGTTGATTAGAAGTTACAAAGCTGCAAAAGTGGGGCACACTGGTCTAAGCATCTGAGACTAGGAAAAGGTATGAATATGTTCAATGGTGTTGCAGCTAAAATGTGACATTTTCTGCCAACAATGGAAGCCTCTATGTAAGGCAACCTCTTTCCCAAAACCTCATCCTCCCGGCATGGAATTGACGGCGATGGATTGTTATTACAGTGTCCCTCATCTCTGCAAACACAGCCTTTTCCGAGAGAGTGATGCTGGTGCGCTACTGCCGAAACCCGACGGTACTGGTTCAAAATGAGCCTGCATTTTTTTTCCATCGGGAAAGTGTTTATGATCGTTGCGAATAAAAGTGGCTCCCGCGTCGCAAAACCAATTGAAAATGTCTATATTTTCAATTTTTAAAATAACCCGTAGAGGCTAGCCGCAGTATATTGAAACATTTATTTCCTTCTTATTCTCATTCGGTTCAATCGCGGATAGTTTTTGGCCCGGTTCGCATTCGGCAATATTATGTCAGGGGTAATAATTCGCCCGATTTCAGGGAATGCAAGCAGCTAGCGTCATCGTCGAAAACCAGAGTCTCTTTCGGGATGTAGGCAGGTTCGGGTCCAGTGCACCACATTCCATAATAAGCTGTGCGTACTCCCGTTTTTACTTCCAATCCTCTTGTGCTGGTGTGTTCGTCAAAACTGGGAGCGGGAACGGCCTGCCTTTTTTCTTCCGTCATCTCCGTAGACCCTCATCAATACCTACTGTGGTTTCACTTGGGTCTTCAGGTCACTGAACCAAGCCTCACTCACCCTTTCAACCTCAGAGTCGTAGAACGCGCAGGAGAAAGGAGTAATTATTATGGCACCATCCAGTTTCACGGGCATTTTCAGCCCCCGCAAGGAACGACACCACACGACGCAAAACAGCTTCACAGCAAGTACCAAGTACCCCGAGACCCGTTGCCTCTTGATTCCAAACCTAACAAACTCCACCCGAAAACGCAGGGCATGTTCAAAGACTCCTTCTCCCTATCCACGATATTCGCCATGGGCGCCCTCGGCCAGACGGCGCTCATGCTGGCCCTGCCCGCGCGCTACGCGCTGCTCCCCACGGCCGCGTTCCTCGTGCACGCCATGGCGTCCACGGCCCTCGCCCTGCAGAGCGGCGACACCGTGCTATCCGACGTCGTCCCGGGCCGGACCTCGGCGGTCCTCCCGCGCGAAAGTTACGACCCCCACAGCAGCGACAGCAACAGCAACAGAAACAGCAACACCCCGTTCCCCTCGCGCCCCGGTACGACCGGCGTCGTGGTCATGCACCTGGGCGTGCGGCTAAACCACCCGCTCGGGGTGCTGGCGCCGGGCGCGCGCGAGATGGGCGAGCACTTTGTCGCGTGCAACGCCAAGGTGCTCGCGCGCGCGCGCGATTTCGGCTGCCTCGGGACCAGCCCGTGGCGGGCTGACGGCGCAGGACCCAACAACACGCTGCTGTCCGTGTACTACTTCCGCACAGTCGAGGGCCTGCACGCGTTCGCGCGCGACCCTGTGCACCGCGCCGCGTGGGACTGGTACAACAGCAGCGTGGCCAAGCGCCTCGGCTACACGCGCATCGGCATCTTCCACGAGATCTTCTACGCGGCCCCCGGCGCCCACGAGTCTGTCTATGTCAACATGCCGCCCACCCTGATCGGCGCCGCGAGCGCCGTTGTTCGCAACAACACTACGGGCGAGGACGAGTGGGTTAGTCCCCTGGTCAAGGGCGCGAGTGGGTCGGCTCTGAGGAGCATGTATTCGCGCATGGGACGAGAGAAAGAGGACGCCGAGCCTGCTTCTTGAGTGCTTGACGGCTTTACTTTTGTTGCCAGCGTGATTTGGGGATACTAGAGTGACTATTTTGAGATTTTTAGACGACTTGAATAAACTCTGATATAAGTGTAAGCAGTATAGCGGGAACTATTCATCTCAACTCCATAATCATTAATTAAAATAAGCTACCTGACCAGTCAGGAAGGGGTCAGCTGAACGGATGCCTCCGGCGGCGCCCAGGCGGGCTGTCCTCGCTTCGCTCGAAGGAATGGGTTGCTGAGCCATTTTACTAAGAAATTAGTAAGGATAACCCCGCTTTGTGCCATGTTTAAGGGCAACTATGCAACCGTGTCAAAAGTAAACAACACGGCGTAATCATCACAGGATAAATAGCATGGTGTTGGGGCTGTCGATTTAGCTATCTAGGCGTGTATTTGGCCCGGAACTAAGACCTCGCCGGCATCAACACGGCGCCTGTAATCCGCCTCACGCACCTTGCCCGTAACGTCATTCTTGACCTGGATTTGGTCCAGGGCAAAAGGAACGTCAAACATCACGCCCTGTAGGCTAGTGACGCGCGAGACAGCCACGTAAGTAAGCCCTGAAGAGAAATCCCGCTCAGAGATATCAAGTACAGCCCTGTCAAGCGTAGCTCCCTGTGACTTGTGAACCGTGATGGCGTACGCAATAGTAATAGGGAACTGGCGGCGCGTGCAGGCCGCATTACCGCTCTGGAAGTCCCGCAAGGACTGGAAGATCGGCACCACATTTCTCGGAATAGTCTCATGCTCAGGGAAGCACGGGGGGCCGTCATATTTGTCCATTTTGACCAGTAAAACAAAAGGAGCCTCGCGCCGAGGGTCCTCCACGTCGGTGGCCCAGGCGATATCATGAATGTAGCCTGTAGCCCCGTTAACTAGGCCAACAGCAGTCCAGATGTTCTCTGTCAACATCACCCGGGCACCAACACAAAGAGGGAGCGTGTTATGAAGGTTGCCCGCATCACGAGACTCGACTTTTGCCGACTCAGGGCCTGTGTTTACGGCCTTGGCGATAATAACCGCGTGATCGAGGCGTTCGAGGTAGCTCGTATTATACTCTTTGACGAGCGCATTTGTTGGATATATACGAACAGCGTCGTCAAAGCGTTGTACTTCGTCAAGGGGGAGCGCAGTCTGCACTCTCGTCATGAGCAACTCCCAGTGTTGACGAGTGGGGTTGTTATTACGTAGGCCGTCGAGGGCACTACGGAAAGCAGCCTGATCATCACCAGCCTGACGGACAACAGTCTTGAGCTCAACAGTATTGTTGAACAGAAGGTATTCAACACGGGCTGCCTTATCACGAACGTCACGAAGGTTGTTATCAGGGCGGAACAACGGCGTCTGCTTGACAGGGGGGAGCTGGTGGAAGTCGCCGAGCAGTATTATATTACGGCCGCCAAAGGGGAGATCATTCTCGAAGATCTGCTTCATACGCCGGCTAATGTAGTTGAACAGCCGGTTACCGATCATTGACTTCTCGTCAAGAATGAGGCATTCAAGGTGCTCAAGCCGGTGACGAATGTTGGTAGCATCGGCGATTTCCAACGTAGGAAGATCACCAACTGTTGTGATAGGGAGGCGTAGTAAAGAGTGAATAGTCTGGCCGCCAATTGCGTTGGCCGCAACTCCCGTTGGTGCAGCCTTCTCAACAACGGAATAGTCAAGGCCTCGTGTAGTGGAAAGACGTTGAATCGCAACACACATGACCTTGAGGGTGTAGGTTTTACCGGTGCCACCACGGCCGTCAACCTGCAAAAGAAGCTGGTGATTCCGAGGCGCGTTATAGCCGTATGAACCAGTGTTGAGGGACTCCTCCTAATGTCCAACAACAGTGTCATAGAGCAGCCGCTGCTCAGGATTCAACCGGTCAACTGCAGACTCGGAGACCTCTTCTTCTTCGGCGCCGAAAGGGAAGTCCGCCTTCATGATCTTCCAGTAGTCCATACGTTGAGTATGCAGCTCGGGGTATTTACCCATATGAGGCTGCCAGTCATAGTTGAAATCGATGTCCCTGTTGCCGAGGAGATCAATATCATCCGTATCAAGCCCCCTATTCGGAAGCTCACCAGCTAATAGCTGCCACTCTTGCTGCGAGAGGTCGTCTTGGGCCCGGTCTGGCTCCTCGACGAACTCATCTTCTTCATCCGGCTCACCGAGAACCGTGCCGTAATAGTCGTAGGGATGTAGATAAGGGTGGACTTCGGTACAGTAGGTATATGCCACTGCAAAAGTATCGAACTGTACATTCTCGACCTTCTTCAGGTCCTCAAGGTCGGTATGAGGGTGGTGTAGCATAAGCTTCACGCGGGCAAAGTCCTCAAACTCGGGGCCGTTGCGAATCGGCTTGTAGCGAGGGAAGTAGTTGAGCACACGAGGTCTCGAGGCTTCAGAAAAGCGAGACCAGGGCGCGCGAGCATGTCGAATAGTAGTCAGGAACTCAAAGAAGGTGAGCTCCTCCCACAGCCCCGGGTCACGGGTATAGTACTTTTCGTGGATCTTCTTGATCTCACGGATTTCCTGATTCTCACCGCCAATAATAGCGGCTGGACCCGCACGGCGAGGATCACGGCAGTCAAAAGACTCTATGATATGACTAGCCTCAGCCAGAGGAAGCTCAAGGAGAAGGTGAGCTACCTCCATCGCAGGCCAGTCACGCTCTGCAATGAGCTTGTTCATCATCTTCGCCACGAGAGAAACCATAGGGCGAGCGTTATTGACCCTCGGGATCAAGCCAGACAACATCTCTTTGTACGGCTGAGTCTGTTGCTCGGCTTTGGTGCAGTATTTGGCGATGTAGTTGAGCACGGCTCGAAGGGACGTGCAAGGTGTTGAGTCCGTATTAGCTAGCCAGCCTAGCACAACGCCCCGAATGTAGTTATTCATTCTTCCGTCGTTAGGGCGGGCGCCGTCGAACATCTCGTAGTTCGGATTCATCTCGCGCGTAAGGACGGCGAGCTCGTGGAGAGTACGTTCGAAGTAGAACCGGCATAACTTGTCTCGTGAGAGCATGCCACCAAGTCGGCGGCGCCGAAGGCAGTATGCTTCGGTACAGTTGTGTCTCTGAACACGGTTGAGAACGCTCGATAGGGCCGCAAAGGAAGTATCAACACCCGGTATAACATTGAGAGGGTTGGATTCGTGCGGAGGGGGGTGACGACCGGGCTCCGGGTTAGTGGCGGTAACTTGAAGACCCCAGAGCCGTAAAAAGTCATCTTTTTGAACCTGGTCGACGAATCCTTCCATTCCCGGGGTAGGCACACCCTCAATCCAGTAAAGGCCGTGACAGTGAGTACTGCCACGACCCTGCCACTCAAACCTATACCAGTGAGCAGTAGTAGGGTACTTCTTGAAGAAATACTCCTCAAGGAACACCTTCAAGCGGCGGTAGAAGTGCCACGCCGCTATGTGGGGGTTTTCCTTGAGGTTTTTGCGGGCGATGCGGGATTTGTTGACATCGTCGGCAGCCAGCCAGGCAGGGTAGTCTGGCATTACCTTGGCGAGAGACTCCCAGTGTAAATCAGCGGCTGAGAACGTTAAGAAGATGTGAGGGCAGTCGAGAGCATAACACATGGCTTCTAGTTGACGGCGTTGTTGGTTCCAAAAGGGCCGAGTACCACGGAGAACGTTTGACGACCTCACGATGGAATTCAGGAGGATCTGGCCGCCAAGGGAGTTAGAATCTAGGGCCTCACGTAACTGGTCGAGGGACTCAAAGCGTTCGCGATGCCCACTGCGATTAACCAGCCATTTGCTTTTCTTGTTGACTTGTGCCCGCATGATTGTATTGAACACCACGTACGGGAAGCGAGGGTGCCTGGCGAAGCGGCCATCGTGCCAAAACAATGCATGCTTAACCCAGGTCGACCAATCCACAGCTCGAACACGCGGCAGGGTATACTCTCCGAGGCCCCGGGGCATAAGCGTAGGCATCGAGAGACTGATAAGGGCGAGGCGGTTATTGAGGTCATTTAGGGGCGTTGACCTGACGCCGGGGAGCTCAATATAGTTGCGAATGGGCGGCTGTTCGGGGGCCAGCTCCCTACCGTGTACCTGGTCACGTAGTCGAGCGAGATCAGCCTGTGCAGGAATGAGGTTAGGTGCCGCGGCATAGTCGATAAAGTCGTCATCCTCAACCTCATCGTCACCGAGGACCTGCGGTACGGTAGGGACTTCCTCGTCAACCTCAACAACGGCGACCTGGTTCATGACGTTGCCGTCCTCGGGCAACTGTGCAAGGCGCTCGACGTCAACCTGAATGTCCGAATAACCACGGTGGCTTGCGATTAAATATCGTAACCAAGTCTCAATGGCAGCGCGGCGAACCCTGAAATCGGCACGAAAGCTCCTGATCAAATACGCGTTGTTGTTTTCCGACTGGCGAGGCCGCACTATGACGATATCGAGCTCCCGAGGGAGGCGAGGGAGCTGGTTGTAGAGGGAGCCAGTATCACGCAAGAAGCTAACGCAGTGCTTGCTATACCGGTATTGTTGACCTCGAACTAATCGAACATCTAGAAAGACGTGAACGCGTGCAATGAGCTGCTCCTCAACTTGTGTAAGCTTCGGCAGGTGATCCGGGACGTCACCGAGGTCCATGTTATTCTCGGCAGAAAAGAAGTTAGGCATATCGTCGGGCTTTCTATCGTCACGGTAGTGACAGCCCGCACATATACCACCGGTGATACGAAGGTTGTACCACGAGTGGCGACACCGGGGACAATGCTGTAAGGAAGACTCGCCGTCGATGCGAGCCTGGAAGGCTTGCAACAGCTCACGATCGGTAGCGAGGAGGGAATCAACCGCCAAGTCGTCTTCAAGGACCGGGTTTTCCTCCGTCGGAAATAGAGGCACGGCAGCTTCGGCGACAGGAGATTGAGATGCACGGGGACGGTACTGGCTGCCAAAAGCAGGACCACGTTGACGGCGGGGCGTAGGGCGAGGAGTGCCAGGCCCACTCATGTAGTCGCTTTGTGAGGTAGTTGACTGCGAGGGTGACATGCTTGATTGAAGTTCTGCATCACAGGCTCGGCAGTGATCACGGCCCCTGAATTCAGCCTCGGGGAAATACTGCCAACAGCGCGGGCACATCTGGCGGTTGTTGTCCTCCACAAAAGGATCTCCGGGATCACTACCTCCGGGATCACCGCCCGGCGGGCGAGCGAGAAGCTCTTGTGACGGCGGTGTTGCAGAGGGAACTTGTCCCTGCCGACGCTCTGATCTGTGACGCCGCTGTATGTTAAGGCGGTCGTCATGTGCTGCCTGTTGTTCGGGTGTATAACCCTCAACCTGACCACGCCGATGGAATATTGAGGTAAGGCGTTGAAAGCCGCTGCGAGGCTGAGGACTTCCGAGGGCAGGCGGCGCAGGGGATTGACCTCGGGGAAGAATGGGGGTAGGGGCGCGGGTGCGGCCTAGGCGAAGACTTCCGAGCCCGAGGGAAGGCCGGGGACGAAGACCGGGAGCTGGCCTCGGGGGGGGGCGAGCCGGAAGGTCGGCGAAGAGGGCCGTATGCCATTGAGGCGGCTCGAGAGGCACGGCCTTCAGGCGAGGACAACACGTCGGGTGTACGCTTAGACCGCGGGGCGAGGGCAGGCATATTCGAGAGGAGGTCGCGAATACTGGATCGGTGCGCGCCAACATTCAGACCGCGGCAAGTATCGCAATTAACCGTCAATACTCCTCTTCTTCCACCAGGCTTCGCAACAAAGTGCTGGTGATGCTTGACGAACCTGCAAGCACGGCATCTCTTGTAATCGACGGGAATCTCGTCATCGGGGGCCTCAATCGGTAGGATCGGGCGGTCGGGAGGAAGGCCACCACCTCCGCCTGGATTTGGTGGAGGCGGCGGGGGCTGTGGAGGGACCCCGACCGTAGCCATCGCGGTGGCTCGAAAAAAACGCGTTCCTGTCGATATATTAGTACGCATCAATAGCCCGATGATCTTGAAGCATTCGGCATACCTGTTCATAGCTGGAAAGGCGATAAATCGTGCATGCGATTGATTGAGGTTGTGTTGCGAGGTTGTAGGAGGAAAGAGGTTAACTTTTGGCGGGGGAGCCGATAAGAAGGTCGAAGCTTGAGCACGGACCAACGAACCCGGGTAAACCTCGGAAGTGGCCGGCTGAACCTCGGGACAGCGATTTACAGCCATTTTACCCCCTCAACACCAAAACAAATTCTCGTGATAGTTGAGTTGTCGATGTTCATGGTCTACTAATTGTTGGATTTCTAGGGGGCAAGCCCCCTAGGACCCCCAGTGCCTGCGGCGCTTTTTGCCTGCGGCGTCTTCCTTCTTCTCCCTAGCATATGCAGGTTACGTAGGACATCTACCAATTGGGAAATTGCTCCTTCCTCTGACACAACCCCGACACAGCAAAGCGGCATTTAACGGCTTAATAGGTCCGAGGATTGTCCGATCGACCAGTCCCTGTCCTGTATTTTGACACGGACGAAAACTGGCCAATCGCCGTGCGAGAAACATTCGGCACCCTCACGGTAAAGTAGAGAAGACAGCCTCTCTACGCCACCTACGCTCGCAAGCTCGCTTCGGTGGCTCCGTTCAGCTGAATTAACTAAAGGCATGGGCAACTTGAGAAGCAAACTAACTGTATTATAGCGATATGGCAAAGAACAGGGTTTCGCTAAAGCCTTGTTCTGGCTCTACAAGAAAAATGTCAATCGAGCTAATTAATTTCAGTTCTTGAGCTTGCGCTCATCGTCCTTCACAATCTCTCTCCCCCTTCTTATTTCCTGCAGTCTGAACCATACCGCCATAAACAACATGTCGAACACGGAGCACATCGCCAACCCCACCCCCAACTACCGAGGATCAATACCATGCAATTATACTCGCGGCCGCTTTGCCTGTCGCACAGGGGCGGCACGGCCGACACCGTGTAGCGTGCCACTGCGGCGCTTAGCTCCCCTAGCCCTGGTTCTAGAGGAAATAAGGGTAATTGCATCTCTGTCAGGGCTCGCTCCGACCAGCGGGAGGCCTAAAAGCTCTCTGCGGTGGAAGAATTCCCAAGAGAGATTGAACGTCTTGCTGTGCCGAGTAGCGCTCTTGTGGCCAAGGAATTTGCTCAGGTGCTGGCGCGTCGGACCCGCTGGGCCTAGCGCAATGCGAAACTGGTCGAGCGTCCACTCGCCCCCAAGTACGAAGCGCTTGATCATGGCGCGTACCTGGTCAACGTCGTGCCGGATTGCCGGCTTGCGCTGGAGCACGCCTTCGAGTGCGGCGCTCTCGGCCGGCAGCGGCGTCTTGGCGCCCGGTCTCACGACGGATCGCGAGAGAACATCTATCTCGTCCCAGTCGCGGTCGCGACGGAAGTTCGTACCCTCTGCGTAAGGCTTCAGGTCCACTGTGTCCTCGACTGCGGCCAGGGCATCGTCCTGCTGCTCCTTGCCCTTCAGCTCTCCGAGCCTGATTCTGAGGTCATAGTACTGGTGAAGGGCTTCGTGAAGGGGGTTCTTTGGCTCTGGCTCGGCTGGCTGCGGTTCTTCATCGTCCGGCGACAAATCTCCGCGGCGGATCGCGTCCATTCTCTGGGAGACTAGTTTGGAATATTGCTTGATTTCCGCGTTGGTCAGGTCTGAAAAGACGGCTCGCCGAACATCGGCCTTTTTCACGTTGCTGCCCCTTTCCAGCTCAGTGTTGATGTAGTCCATGATACAGTCGCGAACGTAGCAATTTGGCACGTCCTCGATTGTGTGCAGGTGGTCCCGCCCCAGACGACCACCCTTCACTTCACCCTTCCCGGGGCACCACATGCCGCTTTTGCCGCCGGCCGTGGAATCCCACCATGCTATGATGCCCTTGAGGTAGATAAGTTTGTCCATGTCAAATCCTGCTGCGAACGCGAGGTCGGCAAACAATCCAGCGTTCGACTTTATCGACTCGGGTAGTTGCTGTACATGGTCAGCAGCTATATTTTAGAAGTGTGTGGAAAGAATCGCCAGACTTACGGCCCTGGATTCCGAGAATATGGTTGCTGGGGTGGCTTTTGGGTTGGGGCGTTCCATTTTTACAGCCTCCCAGGTCTTGAAGTCCTTCAGCTTTGAAGTTACGTTCGCAAAGACCTTGTCGCAGATGTCAGCGGGCCGTTGGCTCCACCCGCAATGAGTTGCGTGGATATAGGCTCGCACGCCGCTGACGACATCTTGTGCGGGTACGTCTTTCAAGGCATATGCCGATCCACCTGGCCGGTGATATTTCTGCCCGCGCGCTACAATGCGGGCGTCCTGGCCATGCTGGCTGAGATAGTAGGCCGTGATGAGGAAGTGCTTGAGTTCGTCCAGTCGTTCATCTGTGATGGCCGTGTACGCTTTCAGATCCGCCAGCAATTGGTCGCGCGACTGCCAGGTTGCATCGGTCAGACTTGTTAAGTAATTGCCAAAATCAATGGCGAGTGCTTACCAGGCCGTCGCGTCTGGTTGAGGGCATTGCGAAGTTGTCTCATTTATTAATTGCGGCTTAAAATGGTGATGTGGCAAGTTGTTGACTTTCTGGAGAAGTTTACATTCCCAAGTCATAACGCGTCGAGGAGAAAACTGTCAGATGGAATGGCCTAGAAGGTTCTGGAATCTATGATGCGTAATCTTCGCCACTGGGTTTCGTCATGTAATTGCCACATAAGGAAGTATGAGAGAGAGTCTTTTGTGGAAAGACTGGAGGACGAGAATAAGAGCAATTCACTCTGATGCACGCAATCCTAAAGGTGCTGTTGCAGTCTGACAAAAACCGCCCGGACGTCCTAGCTCGAAAAGATCAACGGTGGTTTGAGAACCCAGCAACATGCTCACCCGTGACCTAGGGTTAGGGTTAACACGCGTCTCTCCACGGAAGGCACGAGGGACCAGGAACGCCACTTCAACAAACGAAAACCCCCGTCAAAAATACAGCGCTGGCACCAATCCAAATAAATGCCAAATCAATCAAATAAGGAAATCCGTATTTGCAGGCAAATAAGCCATTTTAGAGGTCAAATTCAGGCCAAATTGAGGGTCAGGTTAATTGGCATATTTGTAAATATTTCCCATTGGTTGAGCCATTTTTGGGCCCAATTTTCCGGGTTTTCCTGGCACCAGGGCAGTCCCTGACCAAGGCCAACCCTGCATTTTCTAGTCCCGGGAAAATCCTCGAATGCCCTGAATTCGAGTGCCGCCGTGCCGCTGCAATGCAACTATCGCCAACCGCTGTAAATAAACTGTCGAATCCTATCTTCCTGCAGCGATTTCCCTGCTTCCTTGGCTCCCGAGTCCTCGACAACATGCCTGCCTCCACCGTTGATGTCACGACCCTCTCGACAAGCCTCCCTACCGCCGAAAATCGTCCTCCTTCCCTTCGTCCGAAGCAATCACGAGTAGCCAGACAGTTCGATGCGCTCCTTGAAGAGGGAGTAGATCTCAAAGATCTAGCAGGAATTGAAGTCAAGGATTGGCCGAGGATAAAAATATCAAGAGGGTCCTTCATACCGGAAAAGTGGGCAGGAAAAACACCAAAAAGGACATCGTGGATTCGTGATCACGGCTACTAGGTCGCCCAAGTCATCAACAACGCCGTCATCGAGTGAGAATACTACTGGGCATACCACTATTGCGAGAAGCTGTTCAAGGCAGAGTCAACAAGCTCGGCGACTATACATTTGGAAAAAGACCACAAATTATACCTATCCAATTCCCAGTCTGGTATTGAGAGGCCAGGAAAAAGGCAACGTACGCTTGAAGTGGTCAATACGAAGCGCGCGAGGCATGTTTTACTACCTCACAAGCTCTCTATAGAAGAGAAGCTCATCGATCTAGTCGTCGGCTCGAACCTGCCTTTCAGCATCGTTGAGCATAAGGGATTTCGTGATTTTTGCATGAACCTGAATGCCGAGAAGACAGCCGCCCTGATTCCTTCCTCGCACAACACCATACGAGAGCATATTCGAAAGAGGTTTGAGGCTGAACAACAGGCCCTACGTGAGAGGTTAGCCGCATCGCCATACAAGAAGCATCTCTCATTCGATATTTGGACTTCCAACGCGACAGTTTCCTACCTAGCGGTCTTCGTGCATTACACCGATGTTAACAGCGCCGTACAACAAGACCTGCTTGGAATGCCGCACCTTCGAGGCTCTCACAGCGGCGAGAACCAGGCTCTCTACATCTCTCGGCTAGTCAACGACTACGGCTTCGCTAATAACGTTGGTTATTTTCAGTGTGACAACGTGGATTCGAACGACTGGGCAGTAAAATTTACCTTGGAGTCGTTAATTCCTGGCCTTGGCCGGTTTTCCCGGGATTCCTTAGCCACAAAGCGTCGTGTACGTTGCTTCGGCCACATCCTCAACCTAGCAGCGCAGGCCTTCATTCTCGGCAAGTCGACTGGCCTCGAAAGAACCTTTGACGATGACTTCATCGGCCAGTTACCGCCCGAGCAGGAAGAAGCGTTGTTGAAGATGTGGCGAAAGAGAGGGCCGGTTTGAAAGCTTCATAATGTCGTCCACTTTATTCGGAGGTCACCACAACGCCGGGATTCCTTCCTACAGGTCGCGCGCAATCAGCTCGGCGATGAAGATGCACAGGAATTCGGCACGGTTATATTTGACAGGTCAGTCGAAGGTTTACAGCTTTGTGGTGATAATTCCACGGGTTGGAATTCTGTTTTCTTCATGATCGAACGCGCGGTGCAATTACAGAGCCAAGTAGATTACTGGTGCCATAAAAATCAGAGCGAGAAGGACCCTCGGAAGCGTATGCCCGCCGCCGACCTGCTACAACCGAGTGACTGGCACCTACTTTCCCTTGTTTTGTCTATTCTTGAACCTTTCAAGAAGATTACAAAGTGGTTTGAAGGGCGCGCGGCTACCTTTCCTGAAGTCCTCGCTACACAGGAGTGGCTAATCGATCTGCTTGAGGATCGCCTTCGAACCCTACACCCGAACCTTGAAGCCATTACCGATTTTACCGGCGGCCCAGTACACACCCACCCAGAGATCACGGTCGCAAGCCAACAGCCTCTATCATTCGGCATAGACAACGACGATGACAACGGCGTGTTGTTTACTAGGGAAGCATCACAACGGTCGCAGCGTAACCGTCGTCTTCTTGCCCGGTTCGACGACTCGGTCATCGACCTACCCCGGCGCCTGCCGACCGGCCAGATCAGGCCGCCCTCCCTCGACCTTGTTGCCGACCTACCAAACAACCCTCCACCCTCCCCGCCGCCCTCAACACCTGATCTTGACGACGATCATCTATCCTTTCTTCGAACAAGCATTGGCCTAGCTATTCAGAAGCTCAGAGAATACGTTGGATTGATGGAGGAGAGCCCAGCATACTGGTCGGCCATGATACTACACCCAGGGCATAGGGAGAAGTGGGTAACCCAGTTCCTGGGCGGTGGGCGGGCCGAAGAAGCGATGAGGGCATTCCGGGGTCTCTACCAGGCCGAGTACGCCGTCATCCCTCTCCCGGTGCCGGTTCGTACGCCTCACGAAGGTCGAGGGAGTCATCTTATTACTCACGACTACCATAATGACCCTGATGACCCCAACCAGAAGGATGAACTAGCTGAATACCTTCACGAAAGCGTCAGGCGGGTGGATAATATACTGGCTTGGTGGAAGGAAAGAAGAGAGCGTTGGCCCCGGTTGTCAAAGATGGCTTTTGACTTGTTGTCAATACCGTCTATGTCAACAGAGTGCGAGAGGGCATTCAGCCAGGGAAAACCGGTCCTTGGCACACAGAGACATAGTATGGTCGACGAAGCCCTGAATTACCTCATGTGTACGAAGAATTGGGCAAGTAAATGAGGATCCTGAAGGTCAAGGGCTTTTTTCCGGTCTCAAAGTGCCATTCAGGGCTCGATTTCCTTGTTTTTTGGTGGAGCGGCAAATTCCGTCAATTAAGTCAAATAAAACCCACCCAATCAGAGAGAGCCTCTTACACAGATAAATACACCATTTTGGGCCTCAAATACAGTCAAATAAGGCTTCATATTTGGCCTGATTGAATTGATGCCAGCGCTGCAAAAATATGACCGACGCAAACTCCCAAACCTACATCTGCCAGCCCTTACTGTACAAAACTTGTCTCCCGAGAACACCCATGCTGTGATACACCAATCTGTCTTTGGGTGTTTGAATTTTCTTGATTGAGATACACAACACATTTTGAGTAACCCGGGCTATTAAATTCGATCAGAAGAAAGCCAGCTAAACATACTGTCCAAGGTGAAGTAACCGGATGGTACGATACGGGCTTAGAACTTGATTTGGCTTCGCCTTGATTGGTATTCGTGGTGCCCTGTCCTTGGTGGAACAGCGGAGAAAGCAGACCGCGAGTTGAAGGACACCGGGGTGTGGCTAACTGGCCATTGTGTAGCGTGAAGTTCTGGAGGTATGATACCCACCGCATACGGCTGCTGCTGCTGCTGCTGCGAGAGTTGTCATCATAACTTGGACCGGCGGAAGTCCACATCTGGGTACTGGACTGCTCCTGCCCAACCTGTCCAGGACTAAGATGGAACTGCCCTCCGAGCGGTAGCCATCCATCGATTGAGATGGTGCCAGCTGAGAGAGAAGCTCAAGTATAGTTTGCGCTCGTCTCAGTCAGGGTTAAAACCAACTACTGAGGGAAGGACGAGCAGTCCTTGGATGTAATCAACTGGAGCCGAGATGCGCTATGGAATGCGCGCAGCGAATCCGAGTCGTCCGTCATCTACCTGGCCTTATAGTGTCGGATAAGTCGCAGGATGGCCGTATAGTTTGCCAGCAGCTTGGACTGGTCGAATGCTTCGACCCGAGTAGGCTGGTTTCCGACCCATCAGGATCCGCGCAGCCGAGACGTATCCTGCATGTTCAAAAGCTCTGAGGTCGCCCGCTGATATTTCCTGATGCTTTTGACACTGTCCGCACAGGTCGCCCATTGAACGCCTCACAGCAAAACATATCATTGCAGACAAACATTGCCTGCCGCATAGGGAAGACGAGCCAGCGTCGAGATAGCAAAGCTTCCTGAAAAGTCCCAGTCCTCGTATTCCACTCTGATTCTAACACATGGTTCCAAGACTGAAAAATGATTTGGAAGAAAAGGACTTCGTCCAAATGAAGTACGTCATATTGTGGTCGCGGCGAGCTTACGCCGACAAGGCCATTTTCAGGCTCACAAGCGGCTGCGATGGTGACTTATAAATCAAGTCCATGTTTCCAACCTGCTGGGCCTTGTCTCGTTCGTCATTCTGGTTGACACAGAACATGTCGATCCACAGATAACGGTAGCCGAGCGACAGAGTCACCTCCATGCTGCCTCGCACAACAGATGGGCAGGACCTTGTTCGAAGGTTGGGCAGGCGGGCCGGTGGGATAGAGGGCCATCTGTAGCTCAGTGCCGCGTAGTCCACCCGCGCCGATTAGGTCGAAATATGGCTTGATAGGTCTCGCGTAAGAATTTGGTGCATCTCCTCTCTTCCAACCTGTAGCGTGCATACCGGATCACTGTGTCTCAGCTCGTTCTGTGGAACCGTCTCCCATGGCTCCCCATAGCCAGCTGCACTCTCGTTGAAGTCGTGAACCGTGGTGACGTCCACAGAAACACTCCCAAAGTCTCCCCACTCCGAACTGCGACTGTCGACTGGCCAACAATGAGCGAAGCGCGCAAGCCGAATCTCGTATGACTCGGCCTGTAGAGGCGCCCAGGTGATCCCTATATTCGTTCAAACGGTCATGCCGAACAGGCGGCAAAAAGGGCAGCAGGTGCAAAGCGCTTCCGCCTCTTCCCGCCGGCTTAAGGGTTTTCCACGTCGGTGTCCGTCAAAGGTGGTGGCATGGGTCCCATTCTTCTTCAAGCTCGACCGGATATCTATTCTTGGGCCCCAAGCAAGCAAGCAAGCAAGCAGCCCGGGGCTGATCTGGGCTGAGCAAAAGCGGCGAGGGCCACGTGGTGAGCGTAGCTGGTCTAGGAAGGGTGATGTCGGATTTTAACGTCGACTGTCGGAGTGAATATTCCATAACATATTTTCGGAAAGGCTCGCGGACTTCTAGATCCCAATTCAACTCAGCCAAGAGCAAAACATTTATCATTCTAATTTCATTTATACTAAAAGCTAGACCGAACATTTGTTCTAGCCTAGTCTCGCATTCTCTCACTAACTACATAAAACCTACTCCTCAAAATATCAACTACCCCCTAAGAATTAGACGCTAAATTACTGCGCCTGACTAATTAACCAGGGTAGGCGCACACGTATCCAACAGGAAAGCCCCTGACGGAAAGCAACGGAAAGCACTTCAAGGACCCCCATCGAGCATTCAGCGACCCGAATGTCGGGAGGCCGGGATATGATAAGGGTCCCCAGGTTTGCGAACTGTCTTCGCAATTATCGTCTCTGTGCGTATTCACGCGTCAGTTAAACCTCCGTGCGGTTCTACCCCTTTTTTCTCACCACCGTTCATAGGTTTGACTGTTCGTCTGGGTGGGGGAAACATGGGGAGGATGACTTACGAGCAAAGGGAGCAACTTCCGACGTCTGGTCCCGCGGAGCTAAAATTGCGATAACTGCGCAGCAAAAAGCCTACGCCAGCACTCACTCGGACACTTTTTCAAGTCTCGATAAAACAAGAGTACGAAGAGAAAGGGCGAAAAGCTTCACTAAGCGGTCCCCTTCAGGCTCACGCAAGTGTTTTGCATGGCCTTGAGATACTGGCAGGAGCCTTGCCACCAGGTCTGCTGGCACATGTAGATCTGTAGCGTGCGCCCCCTGCACATTGCAGAATGAAACTCAGCCCCAGTCGCTCTTTCACGGTGGGGGTTTTTCGTTTTCTTTTTTCGTTTGGTTTTTCTTTCTTTTTTTTTCGCTTTCTTTCTTCCTTCCTTCTATTTTCTCCAAAACCTACTGATTATCAAACCACTAAGTGAAGGAAGAAAAGGAAAAGAAAGAAGGGGATTAAAATTACCGGGGGTAGTAGAAAGAAAGAAAAAAAAGACGGCACCAGCTCAGTTGGAGACAGTGCTAAAAGCCCAGAATCTCCAACAGCGCGAACAGAAAGAAGGCAGACACAACGACCATAAGAGAGGAAGACGAGAACAGAGACAAGAGAGACGACGACGAGGTGTAGAGAGGAGACGGAGGGGATGAGACGGAGGGGATGAGATGGAGGGGATGAGACGGTGGAAGCCGTAGAGGGCTTAGGAGAAGGATTGGGAGAAGGGCTAGTAAAAGAACTGGAAGGAATGGCACTCGCATTTGTTCAGGTCGTGGCCGAATTTTTGGAATAGAGGTTCATGAACCAGGCCGCACCGCACTTTTCCGACGTCTTGCCGGGACACGGCATGTTGCACGAGGCCTCGCTGGCCTTGGTCGACGTTGTGCGGACAGAGTTGCCACACCAGCACTGCGTCCCGTACTCAGTGCCTGCATATATGTAGCCGTTCTGGTTGCACAGCCCCTGGCACAGGCTACCCGTGAGGCTGAGCCCAGAAGCTAACTTTACCTGCGCCTGCAGCCCGCGGTCCGTGTGGTCCGTATAGCAGCCTAGGCTGGCCCAGGGGGCGGTCGGCCCATTGAACGTCGAGCCGGGAGTGGCTGCGAGTGTTTTGGCGGGAGAAGATGGCGATGACGGAGGAGATGAGTTTGATTTGAAACCGTTGTAGATGGCAATCATCACCAGCCTGGTGCCGGCCGTGGCGCGCTGCCAGCTGAAGTTCACAAAGCCCGAGGCGAGACCAATGGCGGGCGTGGGAGGTGTGGATGAGCAGGTTGGCTTGGCCTGATTGGCAGTGGAATTGTATGGAAGGTTGCACCCAGGGAGAGTGGGAACTTTTAGGTGGGAGCGGGGATTAGTTGTTAGTATTCTTCACCAAGGCCGAGAACCGTGCTTGTTTTGCAGCACGACAGAAATGGAGGAAAAAAGAAAATCAGCAGACGACATACTTGGGGCGGCGACACCAGTCTCCTCCTGCGGGATAGCAGTTTCAAGCCGGCAGGAATACATGGCATTGTCGTTCCGGTGGGGCACAAGAGTTGCGCATTGGGCGCCATCGCCGAAAATGTTCTGGCGGTTCTGGCAGCTCGAATCGTTGAGGGCGGCCTGCAAGAGGTCACCCTCCCAGAAGCTGAGGTAGTCGGCATGCAAGCCTACGACACACGACACATTGATGTTGACAGTCAGCCAAGCCATTTTCAACAGTTGGGCATACCTGGGTGTTGATGCAGGATGAGTGTGGGCAGCTAGCTAATGGCGGTCTCACCGTATCCAGCCTGGTCACCGGTGCTGAGCATCAGCTGGTCCCACTTGAATCCCTTGGTCGCGTAGCCCATCTCGAGGTCGATCTGCATCATGGACACTGGATGCGACTCGGGGCAGGTCAGGTTACCGCCGTACCGGTAGGCTACATGACTCTTGTTGTCGGTACTGTTGAGGTTCTTGCCATCCCAGCAGTCGGGGAAGCTGACGGAGGCGCGAAGGAAGTCGCCGCAGTCGAAGTAGGGCAGATGATCTTGAAGGAACTCGCGGCCCGAGGCGAACCCGTCTTGACACCGGTATTTAATTTTACCAGCAGGGTCTGCGGAGGTTGCACCGGGATTGCCAACCAGCATTCGGAAGCCCCGGGGGAAAGCTGTGACATGGGTTCCTGGGGCATGCTAATAAGGAAAGATGATGGTGTCAGACTTTGTTCATGGTCTTGAGGGCTCCCGAGCGGGCAACTGCACCGACATTGTTGAGGTAGTAAACACGGGTTTCCTTCAGGGGGACCGAGGAGAAAGAGCCGTTGGAGAGCCGGGCCAAGAGACTGGGCATCCAGTAATTGGACTTGTTCTCCTGCACAATTATGGACGAGCAGTTCGCATTTGCCTGGATGTTGGGGGAAAACGACTGGCTAAAGGTTGAAGCGCCAATCACAGTGTGCAGGTGACCACTAACAACCCCTATTCCATTGAGTCAGCGTTTCCGTCTCAATTTGAAAGTCGGTGCAGAATCGGCTATCACACGTACCCGGCTGGACGATGGGATCGAACCGCTCCTGGGCGATGTGCTGAGCCTGAAGGAGAAAGGAGGTGCCGCCTCCGGCGAGGGAGGTGAGAAGATGGAAATATTTCATTGTGACGTTGCGAGGGAAGGGCCTAGACTCAACAAGGAGAACGAGGAAAATGAGCGAATGTGTTTCAGCAAAGACTGGACGAAGCTCGTGCAGTTCAGAACGAAGGTGAGTGAGCAATCAAGAAAAAAGGGGTAAAAAAGGAAAAGCGAGCTTGTCATGGTACAGCAAACGAGCACTACAGGCAGGCATCTCAGCTTCATATAACTAACAAGATAAAGCTCTCGGGCGGCCATGATAGCTTAATTGAGCGATCTCGTAAGATCGGACCGTCTCACTGAGAGGTGGCGGGCTCATCTCATCTCAGCGAGGACGGTCCAGCTACAAGGATTCGATCTGGAAGAAGCGTTGTTTGCTGCAGGCAGCTGAGCCACTGAGTGAGTTCGTCGGTGTCCTGTTCCTGTGAGACGGCGGCACGCAGCTGCGGGAACGCAGTCTCTGTATAAGACTCCATCATTACATAGACATGTCAAAACCCCCCGGGCCGGGTAGGCGGGGGTGGGATTTTTTCAGGACGTCCTTCGCATCTCTGCGGCGCTGGGTGGGTGTGAGTAATATCTGATTATGTGTTCTGGGCTAGACTGATGGTTGCTTTAGGTTAGCATGGTGGTGTCGAGTGAGATGCTTCGCCGCAGACTAGAGAAGATGGGGTGTGGCGCGCACAGCTGCCTAGCTCAGGGCAGACGCTTGATTTAGCGCGCCGTAAAGATTGTGTTTCACCTTCCATTTCCCCCAGCAGCCGCACCCGGGTTGGCAGAGGTGATTTGTGAACATTAATATCCCGACCTGGAGTACGATAAGTCACCTGGGAGAATTGCCCGACTATTGAATCACGACTGGATTGCTTGGCGTAAGATGCGTAGCGTCGGGCCCGAGATTGTTCAGACGACTCGAAACAGCCGAGTCGCTGAGTACGTAATGGAGAGCTAGGAAATCAAGCGTGCAATTGCCCGCTGCGTAAGGTTTAAGGTACTTTGGTAGCTGCATGAAGCCGCCTGCGCTGCGGGAGCTTTTTGCCATAGACGTTAGGGTTAGGGTCGATATACTGAAGGGCTCGCTGACTGCTGACTGCTGGACTGTATCCGTACTGAACTGGATACATCATGGAGGCGCTTGCTGGCTATTGTAATTAAATACTGTATAGAGTTCTCCGTACTGATACTTGCATCTGTGGTAAAATGACAGAGAACTTCACACGCTGAGGACTACCACTGGACTAGAGTATAGTTGAAAAGTAGACTGGGTGGTAGATTGGTGATTGATGTTATGCCGGAAATTTCGAAGAGATTGGTACGTGTTTTGCCCGTAGCCGCAGCCCATAAGCGCTAAAACACTCGCTGGATCATTCTGGCCTGTGCGTCGGGTATTTACTCAGCGGGGAGCGGGGAACTGAGGAGCCCCCAAACCCGGATCCTGTCGCGGCGTAGCCCGTCCTCGGCCGGCCTCCTTGCGACCAAAGGGGATAACGTCACCTGGGCTGAAAAGATACTCGGCCGAAGACAATGGACGATTGCTACTCTAGGTGGGATGGATAGCCGCTAGTTGTCTGAAACTATCGCGGTGGCGATGCTAGACAGCCCTGAAGGCGGGAGCTTGCAGGTCTGTTCAGCTGCAGCGCGTCCGCCTTGACCCCCCACCTTGGCCCCAAAACCTTGAAAACGACGCAGGCGACAGCGACAATGGTGGAAGGAGTGCCGAGCTCGGCATCGAGGTGGACCGGTCCCTACCTTGCGATTCGACAGGCCACACCCGCACCTCGCCCACGCATGTCAGACACGGAGGACAGCGACGGAGCCTCTCCAGCCCGGACTCGCGGGATCCAGTGGTACCTGAGGCAACCCAGCGTTGAACCAAGCAGGTGGAGGGGGAAGTGTGGTGTGGGCGCCCATGCGGCGGGGGCGGGGTCAGAATTCCCTGGTCAATGGCGAGCGACGGGCAGCACCCCCACCAGCAACCTGACATGGGGAACGAACAGCGTCGGTCAGCGACAGCCTCGTTGCTGGTCGCTCACCCACAGCATCTAATGTCATCCCATCGCCGCGTTTGACGTCTTTCGTCTTCTCCTGCGACGCGCGCGAGCATTCTCTTCTCTGCTATCCTTATCGCACGCTAGCTCGCTTGGAATGCCGAGTCTGTCTCTCGCCTTAATACCAAGAATATCTGCCATTTTTGTCTCTGTCGAAAGGCAGGCTAGGTTCCATTGGCTTGGGTTCCGACTGGTAAGAAAACGTCTCTTTCTGTCTCTCCGAGGCCTCAATTTCCGACTTGTCCCGCACGCCGAAGAATCCTAGGCCCCTCGTAAAAGCCTATCCATGGCATGGCTGACAGTGCATATGCTGTGCAGTTACGGCCTTTCACATTAATTGCCCCGTAAGCCGGCTGGTTATGTGCTTTGCACGCAGGGATAGGGGTCGCAATCGTTCCTAAGCTCGGGTACCTAGCTGTCACCACCGCCGCATGGCGCTCCACTCGATCCTCTCCAGCTTCGGCTTCAGCTCTAGAAGCTATGCGACTTCCCCGCATCACGCGCCGGGGTGTTTCGGAAAAGGCATGGAAGCTCAGGTACAAGATCCGCACTGCGCTCAAGAAGTCGGACAAGACGCTGGCCGATTTTGCCTCGAGTTCGTCCCTCGGCAGCCCCGGCGACGCAAAGGGCGTCGGCATAACGGGCGCGCCTGCTGAGGGCAAAGACAAGACAGCCGCTGAAGATTCCAAGGATGCCAAAGACGCGGGATTCGGCGCCACGCCTGCCGTCAAGACTCTCTACGAGCGGCGCAACTCGTCCGACTCGTCCATCGACTGGGTCGATTATCCCCCCAAGCAGATGAGCAAGAGTGCTGCCCGTGCCCAGGACCGCGTCGCGATCAAGCTCTACAAGGTGCGCGACAACGAGAAGCCCGTCGTTAGCGGCCGCTTTGCCCTCAAGACGTTCCGCATCGACGTTCAGAACCCCCAGCTCGTCGCCGCCCTGGCCGACATCCTGATCAAGGAGAACGAGCACCTCGAGCCGAGCGACACTGCCACGTTCCGCGAGCCGTTCCGCAGCCTGTTCTTCTGCTACGATGACATTGTCGCCAAGTACCGCGCTGTGCCCGACGGCGACCAACTCAAGACCCACCTCCTGCTGCTGATAAAGGTGCTCGACGATGTCTTTAGCGAGTTGCGAGCCAAGCGTCGTGGTCTACTAGCCAGCGGTCTGATATCGTATAAACTCGCCTGGACTCTCTTTCCAAAGGGGGCCGAAGTCATTAGCTGGGGCCGGGGCAACAATACCGAGCTTGTCCTCAAGATTGTCGACACCGTGTTTAAGCTGGTTCCGCCGCCGGCCCAAAATGTCTTGGTCATCCGCTGCAAGGCCCTGCGCTTCAACGGCGAGGCCTTTGTTTGGCACGACATTGACCTCGAGATTGCTCCTTGGGAGGGCAACAAGCCCATCACCGATCTTCCCTACTACCCCCTGAGTTTTATGCCCGATGCCGAGCAGACCAAGAAAAGGCTAGTAGAGCGTGGCAAGAAAGTACTCGAATACCAGGGTCTGACATACTGCCTGTATTCTGGTATTGGCATCTATCACGAGGACAAGAGACTCGAGAAGCACAACGTAGGTGGACGGCTGCGTGCATTAGCTGGTAACTCGATTCGGCCAACTAACAGCATTGTCTAGGTCGACGGCAGGATCCTAATTGACGTCGTTGGGTTTAACAAACATCACTTGGCACAAGGCATTCGCGAGGGCAAGGATCCCGAGACGAGAAAGAATATGGTTCGCGGGACCGGTCGTCCAACACAGCCGCCAGGTACGTAGTGAGACCGCTCCCCTTGACGTCGATCAGCACTGTCTTGTCTCTTCCTTTCTTCCATACAATTTTCTGGGTTTAGAGGTTGCACGGGGCCACCGCATTGGCTGACAGTAGCTATTAACAAACAATAGACCGGAAAGCCCTAGAGAAGGCCAAAATTTCGAAGCGGCTTGACGCAAAAGAGCGGCAGAAGAACAAGGAGGCTATGCTGGAGCGAGAGAGCGATTTGGTTTTTATCTCGCCGCTGATCGATGGTTATGCGCTGAAGAACAAGCTATGGCGTGAGTTGACAGCCGCCACCAACCTTTCCAGTCTGTCCGCTTACATCACCTCCCAGTGTCGTTCTACGTCGAGGACATTAAGCCTATGGCCTGGAACGACGAAGCGTTTGGCCACCTGGTCTACGACGAGCAGCAGAAGGACCTTGTCCTCGCGTTTGTCGAGAACCACAACCGCTCAGCACCGCTGTTGGGTGATGTGATAAGGGGCAAGGGTGAGGGTCTAATCGTCCTTCTCAGCGGGCCTCCCGGAACAGGGAAAACGCTGATGGCTGAAGCTGGTACGTCTGACACACTGCATCCCACTCCCCTGCCCTGTTCTTTATCAGAGTCTTCTGCATATGAGCCCTGGCTTACACACCCACGAAACAGTTGCCGACCGTACCCACCGGCCGCTGTTCTACCTACAGGCCGAAGACCTGGGCATCAACGCAGCGGCGCTCGGCTATAACGTCAAGCGCGTCTTCCAGATGGCGACGGAGTGGAACGCCGTTATCCTACTCGACGAGGCCGACGTATTTATGGCGGAGCGCGACCCACACGACATTGCACGCAATGAACTCGTGTCTATCTTTCTACGCGAACTCGAGTACTTCCGCGGCATCATTTTCCTGACCACCAACCTGTATCAGACCATCGACTCGGCCTTCCGTAGTCGCGTGAGCCTACACTTGCTTTTCAAGCCGCTGACCATCGAGGCCCGTGAGTCAGTGTGGCGCAAGTTTCTGGAGAGACTTCCCTGGCCCGTGCGGGGAGAAGCCCAAGTGGAAAAGGGGTCGAGCGACGACAAAGAAGAGTACCAAAGCCAAGAGGATGTCGCTACTGCCACGGATGGGGTGAATGGCGAGACAGAAACGAAGGACTTTGCAGCAGACGCCACCCCCGACTCAGCCAACACTCCCAGCTCGCCACCCGAAGCAGCGAGTACTCGCAAAGAAGACGATAAAAATACCAGCACCACGTCATTCACCGCCAATAATATAGCCGCAAAGTCCGAACCGGAACAGGAGCAGCACGACACAGACGACGACGTCCGCACAGCGGCCACCTTCCTCTCGGAGGAGGACTTCCGCGAGCTGGCCGCGTGGCAGCTCAACGGGCGCGAGATCAAGAACGCCGTCAAGATGGTCAAGGCTTGGTGCGATGCCAAGGGCTACGAGCTGACGCTAGCCCGGCTCGAGAACGGGGTCCGCGTCACGAGTCCCCACGCCTCCAAGCTGATGCACGAGAACGACACGAGTCTGTACGACGACTGATGGGCGACCCGTGTGACATGATGGAATGGTAAATGACTGCATGGCTACACCGACGGAAACTGAGACGGACTAGAATATCACTTTTCGGACAAATTTAGGGAGAAGGGACTGCATGACAATGAACTGGAAAAAGATATTCTGCATTTTGATCCAAGACAGTTATATATCAGCATTAGCTTGGCCATCATTGCAAAGAGTGGCACATTCGCTCGATTGCTATCTTTCTGACAAACTAGAAGGAATAAGTGTGCGTAGCCACATCATGTTTGTATTGACGCCCCCGAACAGCAGGGTGCTTCTCTCTTAGTGACCACGTTATTAGTACTTTGGACCACGTCAGGCCTGACTGTTTGACCAGGGTTCGCCTATTGCATGAGGTTGCCGAGTCCGAGCGGGTTTTGCTCGTTGAGCCTACTTGTCAAATGAACCATGCAGTCAGGAAACAATAATAGGTAAGTTGACTGGTGTGGGAACAAACAGGTCGGAAACCTTTTTTGTTGAAGCTGTATTATTGATCATACTACTACATTTACTAGGTATTGCATGTGTGTTTGTTCAAGGTCCGCCCCAGCACCACAAGCTTGTCCGTCCCAAACCGGGCTGGGAGCAACCGCACTCGAGTCCTGGTTCAAAGAGCCTGGTCACCCACGCTCGCCATCATTATTCCATACCCAATCTCGAAGAACCTCGCGAACGGGTACTGAACCCATGTTAAACCAATACCTCACGCATTCCCAACGTTGAGACATTGGCACTTTGACCTGCAGTTGGCCACGTTCGATATCACGGCGCCGTCGACGCAAGTCGTCCCTCTGCCCAGGCACTTTCTGAATCTCCACTGCTTGTCGCAGTTGAAGTTGTAGGCGTTCACCTGCCTGGCGACTTTATTGGACATAGACTCCGCCGGGCTCTGCACGTTTGGTGAGGCCGGGTGGGCTAGTGAGTTAACCTCGTTGATATGAATATGATGGGGCTCTACAATTGCTGTAGTGTCAATGGGGAAGTTCTTCGCCGTGACCGATGAGTAGTAATGGTTACGGCCCGGGTTGGCTGGACTGGCGTCGTGGCTTGCACTGAGTACTATCTGGCCCCTTTCTGCGATTACGGGGAGGTAAGCGGGGATGCACTGGCAGTTGTTGGCGCACCATTCGAACTGGGCTACGAGGATACCGCTGTCCGAGCATGTTGTTTGGAGCCGCGAGCAGGGGAACGTCTCGCCGGGAGCACATTGGACCCGGTATGACGCGAGGCGGCCGCTGGCCCTGACTGTATCTGGGGCTGCTGGAGCGGCTGGAGTATTCTCGACCGCGTTAAAAGCAGGCGTGGCAGGAGAGTCCAGGACTTCCATCTTCACAGGGATGCCGTGGCCAAGAAGCGGCATGTCCTCTCCACCGGCGACAGGATTCTTGACTGCAACGCCAGGGGTGACGGCCGGGATTATCTCGCGGCACGCGCAGTGGCTTGAACACCAAGCATCGTCAATTTTCGGCGACATGAGCAGCTCTCCAGTTGGGCTACATTTGATGCTCCGGCGCTTGCAGATGATCGTTGACCTATCCGTCTCGCAAAAGGGCTTCCACTCCGCCACGCCAAGAGCAGGCGTAGCAGGAGAGTTCCGAACTGCCATCTGCACAGGGATACCATGGCCAGGAAGCGGCATGTCCTCTCCACCGGCGATATGATTGGTAACTGTAACGCCAGGGGTAACAGCCGCCGTGGTCTCACGGCACACGCAATGACGCTGACACCAAATATCATGCGGCATGAGCCGTCCGGTTGGGCTACATGTTGTGCCCCGGCCCTCGCAGATGCCCGTTGACTTCTCTGTCCGGCAAAAGGGCTTCCACTCCGCCGCAGTCAGGTAACCGCCGGTTTTCGGACTCGGAGGGTCGGCCCAAGCTCCAGTGGCGAGGCTGAGGATGCTGAGCCAGACCAGCAGCATTGCGGATATGGAGAGGAGCTGCTGTGGCATGTCGTTAGCTGTGGTGCCGTGGATTTGATGACTTGACCCAGAAGAAAACATGGGAGCTGGGGCAGTGAAGTCCAGGTCGAACTTGCAATGTACATACCATCGTTGCCCTTTCACGTTCGACGCGGCTCTTGCCGCTGGAATCTCCACTATGGCCGGTTGCTGATAGCTTGATCTGTCTCTGTACACAAGTCACAATGCCAGTGTAGACCCGGTGGCTTGGCGGCTTGGCGGACGGACGGATGATGTGTACCCCAAGTACGGGATGGATTGGTGCTCAGAGACAAATGGGATGATGTCCAATGGGGCGAGCTCGGCTGCGAGGGATAGATGGGAAAAGGAGTGATAGATGGGAGAGTGGAAAAGAAATTTGGATCACGGGAGAGACTGAAAAAGTTTTTTTTTTTCGTAACTCGCGTGCAAGCCGTCCTAGGCAAGTGTCAACCAGGCATTTGAATGTTGAGGAAAGAGCGCGAGGCCCATAAATGGATGGCAATCCCTTGAGGCAGGTGCTATCCAGCTCGATACCCATCCTATTGAGACTGTGGGGAGCTTGAAGTTTTTTGCTCATCCACTTCACTTTCGACAGCAACGGTCCTTCCTAAACTGAAAGTTCCAGACAGCGGTGCGCGTGACGTGTGGTACATTGTTTCTGTCAATTTAACAGCAACTGCCCGGCGACTGCGTAATGTCACCGTCTGGACCACCATTCCCTCCTTTAGCCATGCTGGAAAATCGTGATCGCAGAATCTTGTCGCCGGTGGAGAGGACATGCCGCTTCTTGGCCACGGCATCCCTGTGAAGATGGAAGTCCTGGACTCTCCTGCCACGCCTGCTTTTAACGCGGTCGAGAATACTCCAGCCGCTCCAGCAGCCCCAGATACAGTATGGAGCTACGGTATAACTTCTTGTCTATGAAACTTGCACGAACTAAAGAGCAGCACTCAATCCACAACTATCGGAAATGCACATGTCGTGGGTAGCACCTTCCCGCTCAGTGGTCTAACTAGCCGATATTCCCCGAAAATATTTTCTTCTTGGCGGCACGCAGGCCGGGGCCGATTGTCAATGGACTGCTGTATTAAGGCTTAGCGAAAAAAGACGATGGTCACTGGCCCTAGGTTGACGTTGACTGATGTTGGTTCAGCCGCCGACCGAGAGACGTCCATCCCGTCACTGCCCAAGGCACTTACACACCGGAACAGTCTAATGTTGAATTACTTGCTACAAAAATCTTCCCTTGTTGTTAATTAATGGGAATGTTGACTAAATAATTAGGTACACAGCGTCGCCAGCTACCTTTAATTCGAAGAGTCGTGCAGCTGGGACTCTCAGTTTCTCCCTTGGTAACTCCATGGCTAATTAAACCTTCGTCTTGACCATCAAGAGAGCACCGGACACACTCCCCTTCATCATTGTCGTATCGGGATCCGCGCCAGCTTCACGGAGTGCCGACTCAATCTCAGTCCTCATGATTCGCACGAGATCGCGCTCGGTGTCAACCGCGTCGGGGTGGGCCTCACGCCAGCGAATGACGGGGCTCGACGTGGCCAGAACTTTCTCTAGTGTGTTCAAGTCGACCGGTTTATCGTTGTCGTAGAAGGTGAAGTTCACGACCTCACCTCCGTCAGACAACCCGCCCGTGTTCCACTCTTTTCGCATGAAAGTGGCCTGGTCGAACTCTGGCACTGGCTTTTCGAGTGTCCATGGCAACGGCAGGGCGGCGTACAGGTGGCGAGTAAGCAGGTTGCCTGGCACGCGGTAGTCTTCGACGGAGTTGTCGAGCTTGTCGATGGCAGCCTGTATGGCTTGGTAGTTGGGCATCGACGGATCAACGAGGACACCGCCGCTGGTCCAAAGTGCCACGCTGCCGCCTGGCTTGAGCATCCGGGCAGCCTGCGGCCAGAAGGCAGACATATCGAACCAATGAGCGGCCGTGGCAGCAGTGATCAGGTCAATGCTTCCCTCGGAGATAGGTGGCGAGAGTCGCGACCCTAGCTCTTCGGCCGTCGACACCTCGAAGCGGACTGGCTCGGAGGCTGAAGAGCTGTCGCTAAGGGACCGCGCCGTTGCGATCATCCCGTCAGATGGATCAATACCAATGGCTTGGCTGAAGTGTGCCGCCAGACTGCGCGTAGCCCTGCCGGGCCCGCAGCCGACGTCGAGGACCGTGTCAAACTTGCCCCCTGTTGACGTGTGGTAGTCGAGGACGATCGAATACAGCAGAGGGTGGTAGTCACGACGGGCTTGGGCATATTTTTCGCCTTGTTTACGGTCAAAAGACCGAAAGGTAGGGTCTTCTGGTGCCTTGGTCGACATGGTGATTTTATGATGATGAGATGCAGCTGACGATAAAAACCATAATGTTGGATTGCAACTCTTGGGCGCTTGAACAAGACTTGATGCGACTGCAGGCTTCTTGAGTCTGGACATCACATTGAGAGAGGCCACTATGGCCTTTTTATGTCTGTTTGGGCGCCTGGAGCGCCGCGTCATCGGCATAACTTCCCCTTCGTCTTACGATTATAATCACTAGGAAGCGATTCAAAGGGGTGGGCTTCCCCCCAGGACATGGTTGCATCCGCCGCCTCGGTACCGGGCTCGCATTCGTCGCCTGTAACGGGCATAGCGCCAATCCCGGCCAGGCCTCCTCATTGGGTGACCGTCGGCCAACGCTGCCTGCTCCGCACTGCTGAAATAACGGCAGTCTCGGGTTTCTGCACAAGATGGGAGACTTCCATGGTCTTTTGTCATCTGCCAGCTGCCAGAGACACCGCCCCCAGTGCAATTCTTCCCGAGTATTAACACGACATTGCCATGGTGTACTACGGTGCGCTGAGCCGGGGCTGCCAGCAATGCCGCCAACGCAAAGTGAAGGCGTGTGAGCGGCACCTCGTGTCGGAAAGCTCCTCATCTCATGTCGGAAGACGGAACCGGTCTAACCAAGGCCAATAGTGCGACCAGCGGAAGCCGGCGTGTCTGAGATGCGAGAAAGCGAAGACCAAATGTCCGGGGTTCCGGAACCTCGGCGATGTCATGTTCCGCGACGAGTCTCGACGAATCATCGCCAAGGCAAAGCTCGAATACGGCCAAAGCAAACCCCCAGACGCAACCATCAACCTCCCCGTCTGTGTGCCATGTCCGAGTACCATGCCCCGCACTATCACTCCTCCCATCCGTGAGCAAGCAGTCTCTTTCTTCTTCGCCAAGTATGTCTGGGACGGGCCTCCGTTCACACCAGGGTATAGCGGTTGGCTGGCCGATACTTACCGCCAGAACACACCCAACTGTGCAATGAGAGCAACCATTGAGGCGGCTGGCATGGCCGGCTTATCGAACGTCTACTATGCGCCCCATGTGGCCGCGCAATCCAGAGCTCAGTACGGCCGAGCCCTGGCGGCCCTGAAGCAGACCCTCAACGACCCCGTCACTTCAATTGCCGATACCACGCTCAACACTGTGCTCTTGATGGGTCTTTTCGAGGTAATCGTAGCACCCTGGCTTCTTCACAAGATGTTGTCGAAAATAGAACGCGGCTCATACCTGTCTAGTTTGTAACATTTGACAGCTGGGATCGCAAACGGGCTTGGGCCGCCCATATCGACGGCGCCAATGCCCTGGTGCAGCTCCGAGGTCAGGCTCAGTTTCAAAGTGAGCGCGGAAACCAGCTATTCTCTCAAGTTTGTTCGCAAATCGTAAGCTGCCTCGTTGCAAACCCCGAGCACGAAGCTTACTCTCAGAGACTCAGGTCACCGACGCTAACCAAGTCACCCTGGAACTCGGCAAAGCAGCTATACGCATGTATGCAGCACGACCTGGCGGCCCCCGAAGCCATTGTTCAAATAGCCGACGAACTCAAAGCGGCCAGCGAGCAAGCCAAGGAGTACCAAGATCGTCCGCGCCACATGCGTAATATTTGCTTCCGTTTCCTGCACCTCCGCTCGGCAATAAGAAGTAGAGAGATAACAGACCCGGAATCAATATTTCAGGCTGCCGCCCAACTCGACCGTGACCTGGAGGTGTGGAGGAAGAAGCAGTTGGAACCAGCTTTCAGTTATATCACAATTCCCACGGCCGCGGCTACGGTTGATTCGGACTGCACCGACACACGTTCAAATATGGTCTTCCTGGGTCGCCGCCACATCTATGTCAACCCCTGGACTGCGCAAACCTGGAGCAACTGGCGAACCATGCGCATCCTAACCAACCAGATAATCATCTACCATCATGGTGATAAACAGCAGCAAGGCCAGACTGCTAATGCGGTCACGGCTGCCGCTCGTCTGGTTCACCACCTATGTGACGAGATCTGCGTGTCGGTGTCTAGTTTTGAAAACGGTCCACGTAAGTTGTACCCAGTCTTCATTCTTTTCCTCCATTTATTTCTTCCTGAACCTCCACCCAAAATCATGGACGCCCTAACCTCTGACAAATGCTTCATCTTCAGGCACCGTCTGTCTTATCTGGCCGCTCTCGGTCGTCGCACGGGAGCCGCTTATTCCGCTCAGCCAGCGGCGCTGGGCCGTTGCACAATTGCGCCGCATTAACTCGTCGCTCGGATTCCGGCAGGCCGGGCTTTTTGCCGACACGATTGAGCCAGATCTTGACAAGGCGGAGAAGGAGGGTCTGGGCATTTCATGATGTCTTCTCCCTTCTGATTTGTCAGACTTTACAGATGACTTGTCCCTGGTTCGTGTCTGATTGTTGCTCATCTCTGAGAAAGGACCAGTTATCACACCCGAAGAGAGGATGCCGAGCGTTGCGCCGCGCAGTCGCATTTGCATAGAGTTTGGACGTTGGGCTTCGGTGAAACGCGAAACGTGGTCCGGTGCGGCGTCAACTTGGCGTTGGTGTTGGTGCTTTTGTTGGCCCGCAACCCGCCCACCGGGTACTTCAAGAGACAGGACTTTAAAGCGGCGGCCTGGTTCATCCCACCTGTGAAATGTCTTGGGCAAATTTCGTCGGCAAGTCTTGGGGGCTGGCAATATGATTCCCAATACCTTGGCTCATTATGTCTTCATCCGTCTGTCAATCTGGTCCTTGCGCACAGTCGCGCCCCTGAGTCTGCTTTACTGCGCCGCCCGCCTGTTTTGGTGCAGCTTTCTCCCACAGCCGCTTGAGCTTATTGCCCTGCTTGAGGCTGTCTTCTACCTATGTGCCAGCCTTCCCCGCCAGTATGCGCTGGACAGGTCGTCGCCAAGATCCATCCAGCGCACTCGCCAGGAGCGCCGCCGGCTGTTTGACCGCTGCTTCGGCAGCGTTCCCGAACCGGAGAAGTTCCTCGCCACTTGGTTTAAGGGTGGTTCTTTGGACGGCGTACGCGTCGAAAATGTCAAGGACTTTCTCGCCTGGGGCTTCTTGTACAAGACGCGGGCCACGGCCGAGGACGATGACGAGTTGAGCGAATATCTGCGTGAGACGGAGAAGATTCTGGGGAGGACGTTCCCGCCCGGAAGAGGACCCCACCGTCCAACCCAGGTCTCGGCTGACGCGTTGCAGCTGCAGCACAAGCCTTTTTTGTTCTACGCGGTAGGTGAGAGAAGTCACGAGTCCGCGATGTGCCGGCCGTGTTCTAACCCAGCAGCAGATCGCCGTGGGAGGTGACGATGTCATGACCTACGCCACCCTCCGCTGGCACGGTCTCGTCCACTACCGCCTGCCCTTATCCCAGACACTCTCCGTCTTCCCGTTCCGGCCGCACACCGCGCTCAGCAGTGGCGTGTCTCGATCGCACCACCTCTCGTACTGGTACCGGCCGCACACGGCGGCGGCGACGAAGCGCCTCCCGATCCTCTTGCTCCACGGCGTCGGCGCCGGACTGCGCACGTACGCCAGCTTCCTGGGCGAGTTCATGCGCCAAGACGCCGCCGACGACGGCGAGACGGGCATCATCGCCGTCGAGATGATGGCCATCAGCATGCGCATGACGCGCGGCTGCCTGGCGCGCTGCGAGATGCTCGCCGAGCTGCGCGCGATCCTGCGCCGCCACGGCTGGGACAGCGGCAAGTTCGTCATCGCCGCGGACTCGTACGGCACCATCCTCGCCACGCACCTGCTGCAGACGCTGGAGCCCGCACGGCTTGGCCCCGTGCTGCTCGCCGACCCCGTGGCATTGTGCATCCACTGGGGCGGCGTGCCGTTCAACTTCCTGTACCGCCGTCCGCGCTCCGCCAGCGAGTGGCAGCTGCACTATTTTGCGTCGACCGACATGGGCATCGCGCACGCCATCACGCGTCGCTTCGACTGGTCCGAGAACGTGCTGTGGAAGGCCGACCTGGCGCAGCTGCGCGACGTGACGGTCGTGCTGGCCGGGAGAGATATCATCATCGACGCACACGCCGTCAAGAGGTATTTGCAGGAGGATTCCGATCTCGGGTTTAGTTTCGTCGACGTGAGAAATTGCGGCAGGGAGAATGGCCAGGGCTCCGTCCTGGGCGGCATGGGCCGGACCCTGCTGTGGTACGACCATATCAACCACGCTGAGATGTTTGAGACGGCTGAGGACAGGCAGCCGATGGTGGATATCCTGAACAAGTACTGCTCAATGGTGGAGTAATTAGAGATTAGATTATGTACCACTTAGTAACGTAGTGTGTACCCTTCGGAGAGGTAGCTAATGATAGTTAATTATATGACAGAGAAGCAAGTAACACTTCCAACGCCCAAGTCCGTAAATTACGACTGCTTCCCCCCTCTTCCACTCCGGGCCCTCGCCTTTGAACGGCCCTGATCGTGTCAAGTGCTGCCAACCCGTCATATCCTGTTTACGCAGAGAGGTCGCGGACATGGCGCTTGGTCGGCCCAGCAATGCCTCTGTAGGCGCTGATGGCCGCCTGAAAGGCCGACTCAAGCGACTTGCGGTCAGCAGCAATCTGGTTCCGGTCGGCCGCGGACTGGATCGAGTCAACGGGGCTCAATCCGCCGGCCTGGTAAATAAATGTGCGTCAGTCCTCCGCTGTTAGAACAGAGGTGGGATACTAATACTCACGTCAAGGACATTCTGGTTCGCCTCCAGAGTCTGGACCACTGGCTCGCCAATCGGAATTCTATCGAGAAGCCCGGCCTTGCCTGTCAAGATTTTGAGGAGGCCTACGTGTGTTTGTACGAACTGTCACGGAGGGATGGTATATGTTAGCTGATTGGTCGAGACAAAAAAAAAAAGAGAGGAAAATCAAAGTAAACGAAACGGGGCACGTCTACGTTTCTGAAAGCTCCCGCAATGGCAACGGCGTCGGGGCTGGCCGTGACCGGCGCGCTGCCCTGCATCGTACTGATGTCAGCCGTCGCCGTCTGCGTCATGTTGTTGAGCCCGGCAATGACGATCTGTTTCGGGCTTGTCAGCAAACTCAAGTTCCCCAAGCCCATCAAACGCATAAACTATGACGTCGCCGCAGGGCTGGCTGGGCAGCTTACCGGGTACGGCCCCTGGCCGATGAGAATCAACGGCGTGTTGACGAGGTTGATGCTTTGCGCGGGGCCCTGCAGGGCTTTTGACTGCTGGGTTAGTAGATGGAGGTTCTTGACCAGCTCAGCGGGCGTGACGGCCGCGAGGGCTGGCACGGCGAGGAGCGCGACGGCTGAGGTGAAGACTCCGCGGATGGAAACCATGATAGGTGGGCGAGACTAGGTTAGGTGTGTGGTTTGGAGTAGTTGCTGTGGGGATGAGATAGAGTGAGCTGTGTGTGACTGTGAGTATGTTGTGATGGTGAGAATCAGGAAAGGGTGGAGATGGGCCCTGTTACATAGGCGGACGGGCGAGAGACGAGCAGTGCAGACTCTGACATTATTATGGTTCTTCGTAGGCTTCGTTATCAGCAGATATCAGAAATTGATTATTGCCAGGACCCTCCGCTTGGTGCCCAAGAGCCGCGGGCCGGCGTCTCCTGTAGCCTATTACAGACCCTGCATCCGAAATAGGAAGCCATTCAGAGACCTGGAGAAGAAATGATCGCCATGATGAACGTGCGGCGCCTCAATGGGGCTAGCACCCAGGGCAGATCAAAATGTTTTGGGTTGATCCAGATCTTAATTACCTGTCACATGGCCATGGTGACCTGCCAAGACGGCTCGAGCCGGTGCGATAACTGACTGTCGTATTGATGTTTTTGATCAATTATTAGCTGAAGATTCTACCACACCGCTTCAGATGAGGCTAGACCGCCTGCAGTTAGGCGGCCGATCACTATCGCTCTATGGCAGGGCTAGACCAAGGGCCTGCCGTTTCCGGGAAAGCTCGAGCTCCCGCCCGCAGATTCGGTGTCCGGGGCTGGCCATTGGGTCCTGCGGTAAATACGTGGTAATGACGCCCCAAGCCACGGGTGCTGGGATCGCCGTTGTATGTCTGCTAAACCCCCTGTTTAGTCCGCAATCACCGCCGAGAGTGAGATCAACTGTTGCGCCCTGCCAGGTCCCAGGGAGCCGCGACAGGGGTCACTTCAACCTGGCCCAACACTCGCAATAAACAATCCCGCCCTAGCCCCGAAATCAGCAGAGACCCCGACGTCTGTGAGACGCCGAGTACGCAGGGCTTCTGCATTCGACACACAGATCAGGGACCTACCGTTACAAGCGGGATAGGATGGAACTTTGAATGAGAACCTTTTCATCGTCACAATCTTGAATCTACTCTCTTGCCCACATCCGCTCTCTCAGCGACACCTCTCCGCCACTCTCAAGCTGGACCCCATCCTCGTGAGCCTTCCAAGCGCGATACTCAGCCAGACGTTTGCTCGCATACGGAATCCAGTCGAAGTCAACCTTGGACTCCAACACCGACACAAAGGCGTGTACAGCCCACAGCAGCCCGGGGAGACCTCTAAACCGATCAACCGCGGCGGCAAGCTCGCTGACCGCCAACTCCAAGTCGGCTGTGATAATACCGGCATGCTCTCCGTAGCTCGACAGGTACCGGCCGATGAACTCCCGGCGGACGGTCCGGCCCGGGAGCGTGGTGTAGTCGCAGGCGAAGCCGCCCCACTCCGAGAAGTGGTTCGCGATGTCGAACGCCGCGGGGCAGTACATGGCGCACTCGTAGTCGATGATGCGGATGCGGTCGGGCGTGATGCGGCTGGCAGCAGCAGCAGCTTCGCCCGGCTCGGCTTCTTTGCTGTCGGCAGCAGAAGCTATCAGGATGTTGCCGCTCAACAGGTCGCAGTGTCCGAAGACGTACTGAAAGAAGTGATCGAGGTTAGTTAGTCCATGAAGAGAGAGGTCTCCGGGCAGAGGAAACACGCATTAGACCTACAGCACGTTCATCCGGCGAGCTCTTGCTCCTGCCCAACCTCTCCAAGGACCACGAAAGCTCAGTCTGCAACTCCAGCCGCAGGCTTTTCTCCTCGGCCGTCCGAGTCGGGAGAACGTTGATCCAGCGCTGCATTGTCGACCAGATATTTGGCGCCGGGCCACCCATGTCCATCTTCACACCAGGCCCGCCGCCGCCGCCGATTCTATCATTCGCCCGAGTCAGCTTTGCGTGGAACTCGCCCAGTTTAACCGCAACACTGGCCCAGACTTCCTCGCAGCAGAGGTCATGGGGTTTGCATGGACGGCCGGGGATGTAGGCGTAGAGGAGGCCGTTGCCGAACCGAGCGAGCAGGGGCGACGCAAGACCGTGCTCGGCCAGTAGCTCGTGGGTTCGCGCCTCGGCCTCGCGGTCGAGACCTAGCAGCTCGTTGGGGTCGTCGCCGTTGGTGCGCAGGACGACGGCGGCCTGGTCGTTCTCGGACTTTGACTTTCCGGGTACGTCTTTTGTGATTTTCAAGATCTTGGTCGTTGTGAGAACCTAATTAGGGGGCCATGATGTTTGCCTTGACCACATACCGTGTTTGGCACACCTCCTAGCAGACGCTCGATCCGAACACGGCCTGGCGTTGTCTTCCAGTCGGGCCTGGCGGCGTACAGAAGTTCCAGGGCCGACGGCTCTGGGTTTCCTCTGTCGTAGAAAGCGTCGAGCTTGAGGGTTCTTGTCTGAGCCATGACGGGTATTGATTATGAAAGGGTGCGAGTAAGCTGTAGCTCTGAAATCGGCAAGCTTGATCAAGGCAGGTTTGATAGCAGGGCGGGTAGTTAGTTGATTGTCAGGTGAAATTGTCCCTGGGCGGGGTAAGGATATCGATGATCAGGCTCCTAAAGTGGGGCTGTCTGTCTGTGGTTGGCGAAACCGATAATCCTAGCCACGCAAGGGTGGCTCGAGCTATGTGCTATCACAGGTAGGTTGGTGAGATACCAGCTGGCCGCGAGATGAGAACCCCAACTCAACATTCAAAGATGACTCGCACGGATAGCAACATGCAAGTGAAACTACAATGTCCATATCCCTCGAGAAAGGCTTCTCAGTTACAGAACAACCAGCCGAACTCTCCAGCTCAGCCGATGTTGTCGTCATATCATCTTAATCATCATCATCGGGAGCGGCAACGCCAGGGTATATCCGTGGCTTGACCCCTCGGCGAAGACACCAAATCTGCGGACCTATTTGTGATCAGTCATGCTCAAAGCTAGAGATGGGTATCTGCTTCGGCGCGAAGCACCGGGTAGACGGCTGCAGGCCAGGCTGATCCATGGCTCACCAAGATAGACCAGGGTCGTGAACAAATATATGAGTTTCCCAGTGCAATGTTTGCGTGAAACATAAAGCTGCTGTTGTTCGTCAAATTGTCAAACTAACCCTGGGAATTGGGCAGTCAAGATCAAATCGGTCCAGGATGCAGACACATCGTCACTCAACTGGAAACGTCGCAGCAACGCTCATAACAATCTCAATTTCATTAAAGCAAAAAAAAAAACTCGCAACGCAAATAAAACACGTCCCTCACCCACTTACAACCTCCCCCAAACCAAGCCCGGCCTCGCAGATCAATACACGTAGCGGAAAGACAGATTCTGCAGGTCCGTGAGATCCTCGAAGCCGTGCACGACGTTGCCGGCGTCGGCCTGGACGTGGCCCTCGGCGGCGAGGCGGTCGCGCTTGGTGTTCTGGCGCACGAGGTAGAAGCGCAGCGCGACGATGACGAGAACCAGCAGCGCGTAGCAGCCGAGGTGGGTGGCGAAGGCGATAAAGTACCGGGGGGCGTCCCAGGCGAGGAACACTTGCGGGCCTATTTTCGTTATTGTTAGTCAATGGATGATATTTATCGCAATGAAAGAGAGACTGGGTGACGAACCGATGCTGTTCCCCGTGGCCCAAAATATAAAGTTGATGGTGACGGCGACGCTCTTCTTGGTCGTGCCGGCCACATTCCTGCTGATCATGGACAGTGCCAGCGTCTGTGCGGACCAGAAGGAGAGGGTGACTTTGGGAGGGCAACATGTCAGCACGGGTTCTGGTTGTCCTGTTATAGGGGGTAGTGCTCACTGTAGTAGCAGATCAAGAGGCCAACCTTGCGGGCCAGGGTGTCGGGGGTGACCGTCATCAGGAGGATGGTGCCGATGAAGGATCTGTTTTCCAGGCTCGTTAGTATCTCTCTCGCGACAACTTTCAACAGCGGCAGCTAGCAAGCTTACGGGATGACAAAGCCGAGCATGACCAAGAGATTCTGGTTGGTCCGCTTAACGATCCAGATGGACCCGAGGAGGACAATGATGATGTAGAACCCGAGCACCATGGCGAGCAGCTGCGTCTGCAGGACGGTAAACCCAAAGCTCTTGATGATGAGGCCCTGGAACGCGCCGAGGCCCGAGGTCGGCAGCGTCGTGGTGAGGGCAATGAGGGCGTAGCCCCAGACCTGGGGGTCGCGCAGCGCCTCGTAGACGTGGTCCAGGCGGAACTTGCGGCTCTGGAGGCCCGTCTGGTTGTCGCGCACCCGCTCGATCATCAGCCGCTTGTCCTCCTCGCTGAAGCACTTGGCCCGCATGGGCGAGTCGGGCATGTACCAGCCCACGAAGAGCCCGTAGATGACGGACACGACGCCGTAGCCCAGGAACAGCCACTGCCACGACTTCAACGGGCCCGTCGTGATGAGGCTGAAGCAGTAGGCTAGAAGACCGCCGACGACCTGTTGAGCACTGTTTTCCTCCATTGATCAGCAAAGGCTCTATTCTCCCAGTGTCTTGGGACTGTCGACAGCGAATAGCACATACCCGTTCATCATGTACCAGTACGTCACGCGGGCCGTCTGCTCCTCACGCCGATACCACATGGCCGAGAGCACAATGAAGGCGGGCTGGCACGCCGACTCGAAGAGGCCCAGCAGGACGCGCACCGTGACGAGCGAGGCGAAGTTGTTGCAGGCGGCCGTCGTGGCCAGCACGGTCCCCCAGGCCACGATGCAGAAGCTCAGGTACTTGGCGATCGGCACGCGGGTGATGATCCAGTTTTGTGGGTACTCGACGATGAGTATGGTGATATAGATGCAGGTGGTCAACCAGGAGTACTGTTCAAGTCGGTTGATTTGTTAGCTGCTGCTGTGCGGGTATAGGCAGTAGCCCAAGGGGCTGCATACATCTTGCCCCTTTAGGCCCGTGTCGGTGATGATGCCCATGATGGAGGCAAATGACATGGTCCCCTTGTCAATGGCCTGCAGGAAGTAGGTAGAGATCATGATGACCAGCACGCGGCGGTCGATCATGCGGCGGAGCTGGTCGCTCTTTTCGGGGGAGACGTAGACCGCCGTGTCGGACGCATATTTGGCAACCTCTGAGTCCACTCTCTCATAGACCTGCCGATCCTTCTCTGGCAGGTCCCTGGGAGAGGGAGGGCGCTCGTGGCGCTCGATATCGGCGCCATTGTCCTTGGCGATAGACATGATGGCTCGCCGTGAACCAAGTACAGCTACTGACCAGGCGGTGGATGGTGGAAGCGGACACGGACACGGCTGAGGTCGATGAAGAGCCCGAAGACCGAAGATGCTCGGAGGTGCGAACGGCTTTCTTTATTTACACGCAATCTAGGAGTCGACAACACGAACTGCTACCCCATGTGGTATCTCGTCTGCATGGCAGCAATAGGCCCGGTTCTGAGGTTGCAGTCCCGCGCTTATTTCCCCACAAACCGGATTCGCCCAGACGCTTTCTCGGGCGCACGGCGCGCACGGTTCGAGGAGAAGTGATTCCGTCCCCCTGTCAGACGCTTAGGATCTCGCTAGAGACGAAGCTACCCCGACCTTCCCCAGAATGTTCAATATTGAGGGGGCTAGGGAGTCCGTACCCACCCTTTCCCCGTGTTCCCCGCGTGGAGAAGTCGACGCTGATCCACACGCAAAGGTCTGATCCACGCCAGCCCCATCGGTAGACGCTACACCGAAGTGGCCTCGTCGCTCGGAATTACGCCGGTGTCTGAGCTGCTGACCTGCCTGCGGCGGGACTCGGTCGGCATGTTTCAGGCCGAAGCCTGTCGTCGTGGTCCACAACCCGGGCCGACATCCACCCTCCTAGCCAAAACAAGGATTTTCCACCAGACAGGTGAATGGCGATAATGGAGCTATTTATTAGCTGGCACCCGGCGCGAGGACGACTGGGGTGAGTCAGGCGATACTGGTTTTGGACTTGGCGTTGGGGCACGTAATAACGCTCTGCGATCGGAACACCGCAATCGCATCTCCCCCGCAACACGGAAGAACAGATCGGAAAAGCAGCAGTGGAGACAGCCGTCCCAACTCCAATTCCACATCGCATCTTGAGCCAAATCCAAGCCGGAGCCCAACCATAGCCCACGCCGCCATGCCCGCCGAACTGTACGGGATCCAGGCGCGCGACGTCGACGCCAAGATCCGGCTGCTGATCGACGGGCTCGTCAACATCACGGACGCGACGGGCGAGTTCCTGCTGAAGCTGGACGACGGGCGCGTCATCGACACCAAGGGGTGGAACGACTGGGAGTGGACGCACGGGGTGGGCCTGTACGGCATCTGGCAGTATTATTTGCTTGTGGGCGAGGCGCGGTATCTGGCCATAATCGAGGACTGGTTCCGGGACCGGTTCGCGGCGGGCGGGACGACCAAGAACATCAACACCATGGCCGTGTTCCTGACGCTGGCGTGCGTGTATGAGCACACGGGCAACGCCACGTACCTGCCCTGGCTGGACGCGTGGGGCGAGTGGGCGTTCCACGACCTGGAGCGCACCAAGCACGGGGGCATGCAGCACGTCACGTATCTGTCGCTGCACGACCAGCAGCTGTGGGACGACACGCTCATGATGACGGTGCTGCCGCTGGCCAAGATCGGGCTCGTGCTCAAGCGGCCGCACTACGTCGCCGAGGCCAAGAGGCAGTTCCTGCTGCACCTGCACTACCTCGCCGACACCAAGACGGGGCTCTTCTTCCACGGCTGGACCTTCGCCGAGGGCGGGCACAACTTCGCGCGGGCGCTGTGGGCGCGGGGCAACAGCTGGCTCACGATTGCCATCCCCGAGTTTCTCGAGCTGCTCGGCCTGGATGTCGAGGCGGACCCCGTCGGCAGCCACCTTGGCCACGCGCTCGCTGCGCAGTGCGAGGCGCTAGGGCCGCTGCAGTCGCCGTCGGGGCTGTGGAGGACGCTGCTCGACGTGGCCGAGGACGAGGGGTCGTATGCCGAGGCGAGCGCGACGGCCGGGTTCGTGTTCGGCATGCTCAAGGGCCAGCGGAAGCGCTACATCGGGAAGGAGCTCGAGGGCGTCGCCGTCAAGGCGGTGCAGGCGGTTCTGGACAATGTCGACGCCCGGGGCGAACTGCTGAACACGTCGTTTGGCACTGCCATGGGCACGACGCTGCAGCATTACAAGGACATCCCTATAACGAGCATGCCCTATGGCCAAGCCATGGCCGTTATGGCTCTGGTTGAGTTTCTGCGTGCATTCATGTAGATGGTAGAAAATACGAAAGGATTCAATTTGAAAGTGCGTGCATTTCAACCAATTTCGATGGCCAAGGGTTGGGGTTAAGACGAGCGTTTGAACAATTCAGAAGAGTTGCGGCTTCCCAAACGTTGAACAATTACAGGGGGTTTGGTATTCGAGACGCGTGTGCAATACCCGACGGGGTATACGCCCATCCTCCGCCTAGCGTGCGTACCCGTGGGCCGAATACGTCCACCAGGCCAACCCGAGCCGCCTGTTGGGCTGCTGCGGGCAAATCCTTGGACGAAATCAAGTTTCCTTGGTTGGATTTTAGACATTTGAAAGCGCGCCCTTGGGTGATCGTCCGGCTTGTCAACGGCCAGGCATTAATCAGCGCATCATCATCAGGACTCGTTTTCCAGAACCATTAAATACCCAGATGGAAATACCAACTGATAACTCTCATTTTTAGACTCGGCACATCATCCCCGACCTCAATTCTCTCTCCAAAGCCAACGTCCCACAGCCTCGAGACCAACACCCCCCAACACGAAACCATGGCGCCCGAACAACCCACCAGGATCAAAGCCGTCTTCTTCGACTTCATGGGCACGTGCCTAGACTGGCACGGCGCCGTCGTGGCCGCGACGCCGGCCGCAGTCCCGCGCGCCGACGCCTCCGCGCTCGCCCTCGAGTGGCGGCGGCAGTACTTTCTCTCGAACGCGGCGCGGCACGGCGCGGGGCTGGCGCCCGAGGACATTGACGACACACTCGCACGAACACTCGCGCAGGTGCTGCAGCAGCCGGCGTTTGCGCACCTCGCATCCCCGTCCCCGTCCCCGTCCCCGTCCCCATCCGACACAACACCTCCGGGCCCGCTAGCAGCAGCTGCCGTGCAGACCCAAATGGTACAGGCATGGCACGCGCAGCGGGCGTGGCCGGAAGTCAGCGCGGCCATCGCACAGATCCGCGACGGGCTGGGGGCCGACGTCTTCGTGCACGCCAACGGCACGACGCGGCTGCAGCTGGACCTGGTGCGGTTCTCGGGGCTGCGCGGCTGCTTCAGCATGCTCTTCTCGAGCCAGCTGCTGGGCGTGTACAAGCCGCACCCGGAGGCGTATGCCAAGGCACTACAGCTCGTCAAGCTCGACCCCGCCGAGGTCGTATTAGTCGCTGCGCATGCGTATGACTTGCGCGGCGCGGCGGCCGCGGGTATGAAGACTGTGTACGTGCGCCGCTGGACTGATGATGTCGATGAGGATGTGGAGAAGTTGAGGACCGAGTTTGATGCGTTTTTGGACGGCATGGAGGATCTCCCTGAGACGATTGCGGGGCTGTGATGTTGTTTGTGTTGGTTTCTTGTGGCGTTGAGAGGAAGATTGTTGTTGGCCTGTTTCTGAATGGAGAGTTACTGTTTTTGTACAGAGTTCAAACTTGTCAATTAATGACCGTTTTACGAATACTGGGTGTGTTTTTAGCAGCAAATGTCCCCTGAAAGCGTGCTCTTCCCTTTAGAATAGTAGCACAACAGCCGGGTAATATGAGACCCTGGAACTGCTCCCTTCGCTCAAGACCCAAGGAAACCAATCAATAAATGCCTAGCCAGGGAAGCCCCTTTCCCGGCTGAATACCGAGGTAGGAATCCCATCCCCACCGCACGGGCTCAAAGCTGAGCCTCAGAACGGGAGTCGTCACCATGCCCCTCTCGTTCTGGGAAAAGAGGACAGATTCTCTTATAAGCAGCGCAAATCTGCAAGTAATCAATCAATACGACCAATACGTAATTTCCGCTCTGGAAACCGGCCGCAGCAGCATCGTTATTATGTGCTGTGCCGCAATGGAAATCTGACTGCGGCGTGCATCATGCGGGGGTGGTGCTATGCTCAAACGTGTTCACTTCATCTCCCCGGGCTCCGGCACACCCACGGCCTCACTCCCCGCACCTTGGCCGTTATTTCATAAATAGAAAGGAGACATTTGGGTGGTATCTGTATATGTATAGGTGTTTGGATGTGGGAATATAAATGATCATAGTGGGCCGGTGGTCCCCAGTTTTCTTCTCCCACCTCTTGCAGACTCGTCGTGCTATAAAGCCACCTGTTCTCGCATGCGCTCCTTGTTCACCCAGCGCAGACATCCCGCTCTCCACTGCTGGCCCGCTCTCCACTGCTAGTGAATTGCCTCTCTGCCGACGACAGCTGCGCTCTTGGGAGCATCCGAAGCAAAATGCCGGACTGCCAAACTGCATCGAGGTGACGAAGAACCATTGGAGACCCAGGTTTGTGAGAAAACAGTCTTGGCCCTGCACATTATAAAAGAGTGGCTTGAATCTAGGTAGCTAACTCGTTGCGACGCAGCAATTGAATTGCGCTGTCGTCTTCCACATCGACCAGCGAGCACCATGCTCAACATTAGTGCCGTTCTTTCAGGGGACGAGGACGAGCTGCTGAACGGCATCTGGATCAGCTTGCTGAGCGTCGAGGCTTTGATGGTGATCGGCGTTGCCCTGCGCAGTCTTTTTGGGGTTATTGCTCCACGGTTGAAACAGCGAACGAGATAGGGGCACAGTCCCCGTCCGCAAACCAGACGGCAGTATTGATGCCATGCTCGCTGCTGTCCTGTCCATATTCCGAGATCCGGGCCGCTATCGTCGCGTGTATAATACGTGCAGAATGGCCAATATGGATCAGATACGAAGGAATATTGGCGATTGACGATGGATGATTGACAGAAGTGCTAGTAGAAGTGGCCAAATTAGAGCAACACCTTTTGCCTCCTTCTGTCAACAGGGTCGTATTCCTTGCCTCCGTGCTTGTAATTTCCAGCCTGCTGCAGCCTGTCATCGAACAAGTAGTCCCGCTCCGTGGATAATCCGTACGTCGCATGCAGCTACGTGGGTTCCTGATGCAGCCTTGACCCTGCCAAGTCCGAGCCCGAGGCCAAGCTTGAGGGTGCCTAAGAACTCCACGACCACCCTGAACCCCCCGTGTTGCCGTGTCCACAAACCCTCCACATCACCAGGCAGTGAGGGACAATGTGGAGCAATCGCAGAGGTGGAGATTGAGCGAGCAGCGGTTCGACAACAACTGGGACGCCACGCACCTCTTTCACTCCACTTGCGAGCCATGCGACCGGCGCCGCGATACTTTGCCGTCAGGCGAGCAGCTGTGAGCATTCTGCCAGCACTTGCGTCTAGATCATCTCTAACCCTTTTGTCTGACGCCCGACGACATGCCACAATATATCCCTTTGCACGAACCGCAGGACCAGCCCACTTGCCCGCAATGCCACGTCCTCGGCAAGGTTTCCTTCGGCAAACCTTACGAGGATGAAGCTAGGGAGATGGAGACTAACTATCCGTTCCCGCTGTACCTCGTCATGACGAAATGGCGCGGCACCGAGGTCCAGTGGCAGCTTATACGGACCGACAAGAAGGTGCAGAGCATAGGCTATATCGTCTGCCACAAGCCGCCGCCTGTTCTTCCTCAGTGGGCTATAGCCAAGGACTGTCCGACTCCCGGCGACCAAGGCGACTAAGGCGACTATCACCCAACTGTCGGACAACATCCACGTGGCCATCTTGCCCGCCACGATCCGCAACGCGGTGGCCGTGTGCCGGAATCTAGGCGAGCCGTATCTCTGGGTAGATCGCTACTGCATCTTGCAGGACGACATAGCCGACAAGCAGTCCAGATCGACGCCATGGCGGGCATCTATGCCGGAGCATCGTTGGTGATTGTGGTAGCATCGGGGAGCAACATGTCGTCCGGGCTTGCGGGTGTCGGCACATCGTCGCCGCGCCCGGCGCAGAGTAGCAGAGTGCTCGTGGGAGGTATGCATGTTAGCGCGCAGCTGCCATTACTGTGGGATGTAAATTCGAGAATAGAGGGCAAGACGAGAATGACTAAGCGGCGGAAGAGGGAACAAAGGCACTGGCCGATGCCGCACCTGGCAGCGGCTTGGTCCTAGGGCTTCCATCCTGGACGTGGGCCGCTTATCCGTCCAGCTCGATTTTTGCAACACATTGTGTCTCTGTTTCCGGCCCGTGTATATTGAGCCCGACGAGAAGGCGCGACCAGGGGTCGGGGGTTGTATTGATGTTCAGCCCATCGTGGCTACCAGCGTCGGCGTGAGGGCTTTCAGTTGGGATGCGGCGGATAAATCGCATGTGCTGGTGGCGATGAGCCTGTGCCATGGTCTGAATTCCGTTTGCAGAAGTCAAGACCAGCAGCAGGAGACGCAGAGCTGGGCCAAGTTAAAATTTGAAGGCCTCCAGGAGCTGCTCAAGAATAAGTGGTGTACTTACGGCGACTATTGGCACGATAATTTTGGGCAAGAGGAGACACGGAGGAGCGTCCGCAGAGCTCTAAATCTGAGCGCTTCAGAGGTGGCCATGAGACCCGGGATGCTGATGACTCGAGCGCAGGTGTCGCGGCTGGCTGTGCGCGTTGTCCACTGGGCCTTGTTGAGCAGCGAGGGATACGAGATCTAGGACGTGATAGAAGACAATGGAAGAGTGCGGGATTGTTTTGGCTGCGGCACAAGCGTTAAGTAGCACGCTCGAGTGCGTGGCAATCTCGGTGTCGAAGAATCACGCGCTGGGGCTAGCTGGGCCCTGGGTGCACGACAAAGAGTGGCTGGTGGGGGCCACCTTTCAAGATTGCGAAGGGAGCTGCTGTCGCCCTTCCCAGTCGTCAATGCGTTCGTTGTGCGAAGAGAGGCGGGCTGTTTTCTCCGCGTAGGCGTCGGGTGGGTGTGCCTGAAGAACTGGGCAGAACTGAAGGCACCGTTTGAAACCGTCATCCTGGCGTGAGCAATTATTGAACCGATTTCAGGCTGCAGTACCTATTATGGATTGCATTTTGACGCACAAACATGGCCACGTTACGGGCAGTGGTCAATGGTTCAGTCGTAGTTGCCTCGAGTTCTGATGCGGCAGCTTCAGATCGTCGCTCGGTTCCTTCCCAATGGTGCTGGATGGTGCCTGCCTGTACAGTAGAAGCGGCCACAGCAACCATCCTGCTTTCCCACGCGTATTGGTGTATACTATTAGACTGCTGGATATTCTTTTCTTCCTCACATCCCGAGCTCAGCCCGCGAGTGCAATGAAAAAAAAATGAACGTTCGCGTCACCTGGAGGCAGTGTAATACCAGGAACACAGTGGCTCGGTTTCCGTTGGGAAACCGAGCCGAGAGCCAAAAATTAGGAGAGGTGTGGTCAGGAAAAGAACAGTTACTACACAATGAAGAAGAAAGAAAACAGAAGGAAGAAGGGCCGCTGAGTGGTGGGCTATATATGCAATTTAGATGGTCCGTGCACGACTGCAATTCTTGTTGTGGGTCTTGCTGTGGGGCGGCCACAATTGTATTACACAAGATGAAGGACGAGGCACAAATGTTTTCTTCTTACCTATCCAATTTTCATTTCCTGGCGACCCTACTCGCAATCAGCCTGAAAGTCTGCCATGGTTCTATAACTTCCAATTTCATTTATATCGCTAATCATATTCCAGTCCTTGACTAATTCCCTCGTTCCCCTTCCGATTTCAGCCGCTGACGCTGGCCGTCTCGCTGCCAGAGACCTTCTCGCCTTTTTCATTGTTTTTTGCCATGGTTTTCTGCTCTCTGCCCCTCCGCTTTGTGAAGGACTTCCCGCGACAAAATGGAGGAGTAATTAGGTGTAACTAGTGGCGGCCACGTACGGCAACCTACCCTCGCCCTCTTGATTCATGAACACCGCTCATCCTTCTGATAGCCAACCGTAAATGTACTTATCTAGGTACCCGTCGCCTGTTTGTGAATTGGTATATCCGACATCAATCACAGAGCATATCTGAAGCCCTTGTTGTCAATCTCAGTCACGTCCCGCATGCCCTTCTCGACAGCCTCCTGATCCTGCTGCTCGACACTCTGGGGATTTGCAGCTGCCTCGCGGTCTCGCTTCGCGTTCTCGCTCCACATGTACGCGTACAGCACCATCACTGAGACAGTCTTGAGCGAATACCCGACGAGGATGCTACGCACAATGGATGTCAGCCAAGGGCGGCCAACCAAAGGCGGTGCCCCATGAAGGGGGGGCTAGGGGACTGGAAAACAAAGACTCACGCAATATACGCCGACTTGTAGAGCGGCGCTTCGGCGTCGATAAAAGTCTGCGGCCCGACGATGTTGCCGGCGCAATACCCGACAAAGATGAAGGCGCCCGTCAGCTGCTTCTTGGTGTAGCCGGCCACGTTGCTGCTGACCATGGTCAGGCTCATGGCGAAGCCAACCGATTGGCACGAGCACAGCCAGAGCGCCACGATTCTGCCCCACCTGTTCTCCGTGCTGTCGGCGCCCGGCGAGAGGCCCACGAGCACGCCGCCGGCCACGACGCAGACGAGGTTGCCCAGGATCATCACGATGCACCGCATGTTCGGCCAACGCGACGCGACGTAGCCCGACGCGAGCAGCGACACGATCTGGATGACGTTGCCCGGGATCTGCATGTACTGCGTCTCCAGCGTGCTAAAGCCAAACGTCTTGAGGATAATGGACATGAACTGCAGTCGAGGCTCGAGGGATGCTGTGGTCAGCCTGCTCTTTTACGTCTGCGTCGCAATCAACAACGGCAGGACTTACCGAAGACTGGGCCGCGTTCGGAATCTGTGCTGAAATGGACATGACAAACAAGATCCAAGTCTTGGGGTCCTTTAGCGTCTGCCACATCTGGTACTTTTTGAAGTGGTGGTTCTTGACGCCCTGTCGATTTGCCGCGACACGGTCGACGGCGACGGCGGCCTCGTGGCCCTTCAAAAATCTCGCCGTGGACGGGAGATCGGGCATGAAGGCCAGGAACACGACGCCCCAGGCGAAGCTGATAGCCCCAAATATGAGGAACACGTACATCCACTGCGGCAGACCCGACGTGATATGGCCAATGGCGTAGCCCAGGAGCCCACCGGCTATGCCGGCCCAGCCGTTCATCGAGTAGTAGATGACCAACCGCAGCGGCTGCTCGGACTTTTGGTACCACATGGACATCACCAGCACGAAACCGGGATTCACCACGGCCTCGAAGAGACCGAGCAAGAAGCGGTTGGCGGCTATTCCGGCGAAGTTGTTGCACGCTGGCGTCGTGAGGATGAGCACACCCCAGGCTGGCACATCCAAGTGTCAACGAGAGGTCCATTGGCGAGAGCCTGGGTTCTGCTAATAATCACTCACCCAAGGTGCTGACACCAATGACCTTGGCGACCGGAAGCCGTTGCATGAGATAGCCCGCCGGATACTGAGCAACGAGATAGCCTGCGACAATGTCAGCAACAAATCTTGAAGAAGGACTAAGACTAGAAACAAGGCGGCCAAGGGTTTACCAAAGTAGAAGATGGACGAGAGCCACGAGTAATCCTGGCCATGCAGGTTGGTGCCCTTCTGCAGGCCGTACACGCTGGCGAAGTTGATGCTAGACTTGTCAAGATACTGCAACATGTACGAGCCCATGAGGAGCGGCAGGATATGCCAGTCGATCTTGCGCAGGACGCGGCGCGCCTCGACCGGGTCGAGGTCCGTCTCGCCGCCGCCTTTTTGCTTGTAGATATCGTACGTGTCGTCCAGGTCACTCGAAGAGGATGCCGCGCCTACCCCGTCCTCTGGTCCCGTGGCCCTGTGTTTCGGACGGGCATCGCCTCGGTCGCTGCCGGCCGACACCGACCTGTCGTCGACACCCATTGTCACGCAATTTTGTAGTAGAAATCAGGCAGGGTGGTAATTAGCTGGGATGGGTTTGGCTACAGCACGAAGTTTCTCTAGTCCACAAAATAGCTGCAGGGAGAACCGGGCTTATCTACCCATCGACGCCCCACAGCCTCGGAGAATGCAAAAAAAGGCCCCCTCTCCCCTTCCGGGTCTCTGGCAAGTTGCAACGGCAAGCCGAAGCCGAAGCCGACGCCACTGACCAACTGGGCGCCGTTTTGTCTTTTTGCTTGGCTTGCATCTCGCTGGGGTGGCATGGCGCAATAGGGCCGTCCCGCCAATGGAACACGCCCGGGGGGCGCATCGGGACCCGCTGGCTCGCCCCCGGATACACACTCACGAAGGATCGCCCTCGCCTCCTGCCGCTTTAAGTTGTCGATGGGGTACTTCCTCGTACAGACCGCACAGTAACGCTGCTCCGGAAATCGATAGGGCAGCCTATGGCTGGAGACGCCAGTCCGGTTTCGCCGAGCAGTGGGGTCGCCAGAACGGCGCCGGCTATCGTGTGTAATTAGTTAGCAACAAGTGAATGGGGAGAATGGGTACGAGGCTGTAGTTTTATTCTCGTACTCAGTCGTTTCGTCGACAAATCCCTCACGCTAAACTTGAAGGCCTCGAGCCCGGATTCTGTCCTCTTCTCGCCCTGAAATATGTGCTATTTCCGGGCCTAGGCATACGTCTTAAGCCACATCTGACGTTTGTTCCACCTTCATAGCTTCATGGACCAGCGCTAGTTGTTTTGATTCGAGTAGGCTTGTGTTTACACTTTGCGAGTAGGCTTATCCTCCTTCAGGCTTAATTAGAACGATTGAGGTATTCTAGCGTGTCGATGCCAAAAACACCAACACTATTTTGGACTCACTAGATCTAATCAAGGCACTAAACGTATCCCCGACACTGATTTCAGTTGCCTGATACTAGCTAACCAAACCAAGCGGTCTGGTACTGAAAAGGTTCAAAGGCTCAGTGGTTCAGCCCTATTAAAGTCCATTGAGGACTTGTACCTAAGGTAGGTAATTATCAACCTGCCGCGGATGACATGGATAATGTCGTGTGTCTCTAATACACAGTCCTGAAATAAGACCCTTCCTGTAGAAACGCTGAGCAATATCTTATGTCTAGACTCTATAGTCGAATTCGAGGCGCCTGTGAACGAGAATATCCATGCGCTGAAGAAATCGTCAGAGCCTCAAAAAAGCACATCCCACTAGCCGTTAGCCAATAGACGTCTCTAGAGTCTGGGCGAGTATCTGGCTAATAACGGCCCCCTCACTCTGCCGCCACTTTAATACTGATTTTGACTTGTTCACCCTTCTCTCTCCTTGTCTATCCTGCTGTCTGTATTTCGCTTCGTTGGCTATCGAGGTGCTGCCTTGTCTTGTCTCGGGACAGGGCGGCGGGTATCGCGTAGTGACATGTGTACATGGTCATACATTCCCCGGATAGATGGATGTTAATCTTCAAGGCCACTGGGGGTTTCTAGGGAGGCTTTTCTGGATTTTCTCGCCACGGCGGGGTACAGTCACCTGGGCCTTGTTGCAGTGGGAGGGATTTCGTTTCTATGGGATAAGAGAGCGAGGACAAGCACCGCGTCCAGTCAACGTCGGGCAGACTAACACGTGCCAATATGAAAGCCAAAAGAGCCTGGTTTGCAGAAAGGTTGAGCTGGGGTGGCGTTGACGTATACTGAAAAGCAGCTAGTTCAGAGCCAGTTTTGGGAACCTCTGGACTTCTTCTCTGATGATTCCCCAGGTTGGGCACTGTCCACTTCCTCCTCCAAGTCTGAGCTCCCGGGGGCTGGAAGTAGACTCTAGATGACTTCATCCCAAATTTACTGCCGTGGCCACTCATCACGTGTGCCAATAGCCTGCTCCCTGGCGAGCCCCCGCCCGCCTACAAAACCCCTCTGCGGTCGCCGCTGCGGACTGTTCACTCTTCCTCGACTGTTCACTCTTTCTCGACTGTTCACTCTTCCTCGACTATTCAATCTTCCTCAACTATTCACCCTTCCTCAACTATTCACTCTTCCTCAACTGTTCACTCTTCCTCAACTGTTCACTTTTCCACTGTTCACCACCCTACCAGATCGACCACTGAGCAACCAGAGCTTCGCATCCATCTGCAAGAACAGTCTCGGTGAACAATCATCAAGAAAAAACGCCAACAAGAACAGCGCGCGCGTCCACTCTGAACAGCGTCACTGTTTCGCATCACTTCACCTGTCGTCGCCATGCCTTTCTCCATCCAGGTATGTATTTCCGCTTCCAATTCCCTAGGCCCCTCCTTCAGCCATCTCCCAAACCACCACCAGCTCTTGCAAGCACATTTCGAGCAAGCACACTGTGAGCAACGCATACACACACACATACTTCTTCCTTTGACATTTGGTCAATCAATTGTCTTCTCTCTGTCACGCAACTCTACGCGCCTCTAGGTTGATCCCCTTCTCAATACTTTTACATATTCATAACCATTCATCAACCTTGTCCCCATGGGCTCCCAACCAAACGAGCTAACCGTCCGCAAGCGTCGTGGTGAGGCCAAGGCTGTCATGATCAGAAACAATAATACTGCCGACAACGGCACCGGCAGTGTCGCCGGCAATATTCCCGACATTACCGATGGCGATATCGGCAAGGCCATCGCCGAAACTGCCGACTGGATCCGCGAGCTGCTTGAGAGCAAGCGAGTGGTGAGCCCCAAGACAAGGACCAACCTTCAGTACTTTCTCGACAAGATCGAGAACATCGACAACCTGTCGCCACAGGATCAGTCGGCGATCATGCAGAAGCACATGCTGCAGATGTGGCGTGCTGAGACAGACCGGCGCCTCGACAGCGAGGCCAAGTACGCTGGCATTATCGATAAGTTCAGGGCCATGAACGAAGACGCATGGTACCTTCGGTACGGCGACTATTTTGCCATGGCTATTAACCCCCTCAAGGGCCATGCCACCAGTGTGAGAAAGGCCTCGCAGAACCGGGCGGCCAAGGTCGCTCAGCAACAGAAGTGGGAAGCCGCGAGAGCAGAGGCCCAATCCAAGTGGGGCCACAAGAAGCCTCAAGGCAAGGCCAGCACTTCGTCTCCGTCGCCTGCCACTACACCATCCTTTGTCCCGTCCACTCCTGCCGGCCCCGCCAGCCCCACGGCCCCCGGCAATCCCACCAGCCCGGCGACCCCCACAACTACGCCCAAGCGAGCCATGAGCGCCGCGGCCATCCTAAAGGCCACGCAAGAGGCGGCGATTGAGTTTTTTCTCACAGAAAATTGGATGGCCATCAACGAGCGTCTGCAGGCCGAAGACCCGATGCCCCGGCCGCCGAAGACCATCGGGCTGGCTGACCTGTTTGGGCCGGAGCCGCTCGAGAGCAAGCCGACCATGCCAACTCCCCTGGCCGATCTGGTGGAGAAGCTGACGGGCATGATGAGCCCGTATCAGACATATGAGAACGTGCGCAAGAACATCTCCCTCTACGCACAGCGGAATGATATCGCCCATCGCCACCTCGGAGAACTGGCTCGTCAGAGCAGGTATATGGAGCTGGCAAACCTCATCACCACAGATCTGAAGGCTCTGTACTACAAGACGGCCATTGACGAGGAGACACGCTCTGCTGCCCAGGCCGCCATCTTTGCCACTGCCAGGCACTTCTTTCACACTTTTGTGTGGGACGATGACAGCATGAATGTCGCGGACTTGGCATTCCGCACAATCAAGAAGACCGTCCCCGCTGCTTCAGGCACCGCCCCAGCTCCCGCTGAACAAGACGGCTTTGTTGGCTTGCTGAAGGACAAGCCCGTCGACGAAAACGAGGCCGAGACTTGTATCACCGCCGAAGACGAGCTTTCGGACGAAGTCGGATACATCAACTTCGACTGAATAAAAAGGGGAAGGGTGCGGGATACGACACGGCACGACGCGACACAAGCACCTCCACGACAAGCGCATATGCCTATGTTATGAATCGTCAGGCAGAAGGATATAGCACGAAGGCCTCGGGATACGACGGGACGAATTAGGACATTGGCATGGAGTATTGAGGAAAATATATTATGAAGCATTGGGACAGCGGAGCATTATTCTAGATTGGGTCACGACATGGAGCTCTGGGACACCGACTTAGGTTATGGACAACCTAAAACCGAATATATTAATCGACCGAATATATTAATCGAAGCCGAATTCCTGGACGAGGTTCGCTTGGGCAGCAGCTGGCCAGTCCTTGGGCTGGGCGTCCATGCGTAGGTCAGCAATAGTAGCGAGCGCGGCATCTCGTTCTAGCTGCCCAGTCCTTATACTTAGCGTCTAGGCGTAGGTTAGTAATAGTAGCGAGCGCGATATCTCGTTCTAGCTACCCAGTCCTTACGCTAGGCGTCCATATACACCTCCCCGGGGTAATAAATATCACCTACCTCCGTTTTCTATGACCTTTTGTAGCCGCCCAGGCATTGAATGCGCCAACCTTCGTAAAAAATCAACCGGTATAGCCTCCCAAGCAACTTCAACGGCTGCGTGCAGCTCCAGTAGGCTTAAGTGTTCAATAGCGTAATTTTTTGACACTCAGTCTTTTATCCAGAACCACACATTCTCTATAGGGCTCAGATCTGGGCTTCAATGTATACTTATTTTCATAATTTACGTCGATGGCTTGCAAAAGTAGGGCGCAAGAAGCACTCAGTGGGCCAGGTCAAAACGTACCCCGGAGGAGGTGTACCCCTCTAGTGGCTTCCCCCGCGCATCTTACGGATCCTAACGTCAATAACGCTTCGCCATGGTGGTAGTTACATCGAGGCCGCAAGTTCCGCTTTCGCGATTACGATAGTAATTCTCGGATCCTTATTATTACAATCACAACTAACCTTTATGAGTAACTCCACAAACCGCTATGTAACGAGTTTTCCAGGCAGACTGTAAGGAAAAGGACACCCCAAACACCAACTGCGCGCACAGGGTGCGCGCCCACCACTTGTCACCAACTGGCTAGAACACTGCCAGCTGGCATACGCTACGCCGTGGCGCCACGACCGCAGACTGATGCCCGGGCCGAACCCCTGAGCAGGTATATAAACAATGGCCCTCGCCCATCTTCCTTTGCGAGGGCCAGGTTGAAGTCTTACACCAATACAAGTCATTGCTCCCCTACCTTCTTGCCTGCATTGTGACCACCTTGATCAGGCGTACCTACCTTCTCTTACATCGAAAAACCCAGATGTTATCTTTATATTCTATACTTTGGAGGCAAGGAGGATGCAATCTATAAATGAAAAATTCGTAAGCGGACGAAATCAACCCTACCTATTAGGGTTTCTATATAGAAATTTTTACAGACTAGTTGGAATAATTACGGACTATATTAGTACAGAATCGCCTATCTCGCACAAGTACTTAAATCATGGAGCATTGATAGAATTAATATGAACGATTACTCCTGCAATAATTTCAATATTAATAGCTTTCCCTTCCTTTAATTCATCATACTTGATGGATGAAATTTCGGACCCTTCCGTGTCAGTTTTAGCGGAAGGTGATCAATGATATTGAAGTTACCAATACCCTGACTTTCTGGATTCAAATACAACATGCAGTGGACGGTCACGTTCAGGTCGTGTCTGTTTCGGACTTGACGAGACAACTGCCGCCCGCGTACGGAGCACTAGTACTGTGACTACGGGTTCAAAAGCTGACAGGACAGGGCCGGTCAATGACGTGTTTGGTGGAGACTTAAGCTACGCGCGCAAGAGCTCCATCAATGATGTAAAGTAAGGATGTCCGGATTAGGAGAAGCGTGCACTGCTGTTTCGGCGTTTGGTCTGTCCACCACTGGTGGCATTTATTAGGGTTTGACTGAGCTTTGAGTCGCGAGGGTTTTTAGCGACAACCCCGCCCGGATTGACGTCGCGTGCAGCGCAGCGCAGCACAGCACAGCACCCGGCCACAGCTTTCTCCTCACTCACCTCGTGTTCCGTCTTGTCACTTCAACATCGCCAACGAGCGTTTTTGATGCGCAAAAACACCACATCCGGCCCGAAAAAGTAGCAGGAAACATGCATCGAGTATTTGGCTGCCGGCGCATTGCCCACGGACGTAGCTGGCGCCTGCCGGGGCAGTCCCAGCCAGTGCTGGTGGCGGGATTGTAGCGGGTCCAAAGACATGCTACCCCGGATTTCCCCAGATTCGGTGGTTGGCCTTGACTCCTCCCCCCTGGCTGTGAGTGGCTCTCGAGCGGCCCCCGGCACAGCAGCAACAAGGGAAGCTCCATGCAGGGCGCTCGGGCCAGGATACCTCAGCACGGTGAGCTCGTCGTGCCATGATGATGTACCCGTCACGCGATCCTCGCCCGACGTGCCAACGTGATCTCTCTCATGGCATTACCCCGCCCGGTCTGACGAAACAGTCGAGGCAGGAACGACGCAGCCACTGCCACCAATTCCGCCGATGCCTCCTCACCAGTCACAGACAGTCACGGTCCTTCCCCCTTTCCCGCCGCGCCTGCCTTACCTATCACTCCCAGGACCCCCAACCCCATCAGCTCTCCTTCTCCTCTTTCCTTCCCCTCCTTTGTCCAACAAACGTGCATCCGTCAACAAACACCGCCATCAACACCGCCATCAACAACGCCAGACTGCCTATCCAACTGGACAGCCAGTCTAGAAAGGTATGTGAAGTGGCTAGAGCCATCAATTCCCTTCTGTCCTTCTTCCCACTGCCTAGTCATCGCCATCTAACCCGAGAAGCCTCAACCAAGGACCTGATCCGTCACACACCAACAACCACCCAACATGTCTGAGCCACTCACCAAGGTCGACTCCGCCGTCCAAGGCCTCTCTTCTTCACCCCCCAAGGAGACCAAGCACAGGCGGGCAAGCTCCAGCGCCAATGGCGTGATGAACATCAATGACCTGGGTAAGTCGATGCCTATGCCGTGCCTGGAGCAACCCCCTAATACCCGCCATGTCCGGGACATCCGGCACGATGCTAACAGTGATGGCATCACAGAGGCCCAAGGCATCGACTTGGAAATTGCCAAGGAGACCCAAAAGCTGAACTGGTAAGTCGTCGACGTCTTCTTAGTTGTTGTTTCCGCAGTTCAATGTCTTGAACCGGAAGCTTACGGCGCCTGCCCCCTTGTCCAGGAAGATCAACACGTCGACTTCAACAGTAGATGACAAGGAGTACCTCAAGAAGCTACTTACAACACCACCAGTCAAGAAGATTGACCTACATTTCCCTCTGGGGCTGGAAGTAACAGCGCGGAACCTCAAGGGCGTCACGATCAAGGACGCATTGGATGCCATCCACAAGCAGTTTAAGAAGAGGGTGAGCTTCCCAGACTTTTGCCACCTCTCGTATGCAGCAATGCCCAAATCGGAATGTAGGTTAACAGATTGCGTGCCCACAGGCCGATGACGAGCTAGATCTACCATACCTAGCGGGCTTCGAGTGGGACAAGGAGGAGTCGTGGACTCGGCTGGTGGTGCACCTGCAAAAGGATGCTGGCCCCCAACAGATGAGCAAGAAGAAGAAGAAGGGCGCCGCCGCCGAAGAATAGAGGGACATCAAATCAACTCTTTTGGTGCCACCCGGCCTCTAATCGTCGCTAATATTCTTTGTTTTGGTCGTTCGGCTGCCCCCTGTTGGTCGATGCGGTGAGAATGGGATAACGCGGATTTGCGATGGATTGAGCTGACTGGCGAGAGTGAAGGAACAGAATGGGATAGCTTTAATTTCTTGTTGTGGCCCCGACTGTCTGCGGGCGTCGTCCTCTCCACTCCTTCGAGCATGGCGATGGCTGCCAGCATGTTTCCAATTACAAGGCTTGACCCCTTTTGGGAGCTGGGGATTTAGGTCAACCAACTCGAAGCCGGGCAAGTTTTCTCTCTGCCTGGCTAATATACAACATTCAAGCAACAAACATTTGCCCAGTGTTCTCATTGTTTGTATCGGTTGTGCCGATGCTCAGCCGTGACGTAAACCGCTGAACATCCCTAGTGTGGATACCATCTGGGAGCCAGCTCAGGCGGCGATGCGGGGCAATCCGTGGCAGGACAGCTAGTGTTCAGTTGAGTACCTGCAGGGGCTGCTCCGACTTACCCGTGCCGAGATAGGTGCTTGACTGCTGCGATAGTCTACCTAACACGTGCAGCAGAAAGATCCAGTAGCTGTTCCCGTGGTCCAAACCCTGAAATCGGGGGCGTTATCGGATTCTACAGGTTACCCGCGTGGAAGGTGTTATCGTCGGGATGGCGGATCGTGCGGACGCTGCGTTATTAGTGGTCCCAGTGATCGCCTGCTAGCGCTGGAGTGGTGTAGTGCCTGCTGCAACGAGAAGCGCTGCAACGAGAAGCGCATACTCGCGGCTAGTGTCGGCCGGGACTGTCGCGCCGTGTGCACTGCGGAATTGAGCAGCAGCCCCCCAAAGGCCAGGCGTCATCATCCAACCTCCATCGGCGGCCCAGCAAAGGCGATGCGGCACAAAAGGCTCGGGCATGGGATGGGATGACAAGCGACGAGGCGTATTAAAGCTGTCCAACCTAGCTTTCTTTGCTAGGTCCCCCGAGATGGCGGCCATGTTTATTCTCTCTTTCTCTGGTCATTTCACCATTGGTTTCCCCTCTGGATTGTATCCGACTGCTTCCCCCTAATAGCGTGCGACTCGAAGCATCACTAGCAGTGCCGCCACTAGCAGAACCGGGCAGACGGCCGAGTAACTGAACGGGAGAGGGATAAAAAAGAGAGAGAGGGTTGGCGAAACAAATTGACCAAGGATGCCTGCCACCGACTTCGAGTTCAAGGAGAAATACCAATACCAGAATGGCTTCGACTGCTACTTCGAGTGCGTCTGTCCCCTGTGGTCCTGTCTGGTGCCCTGTGCTGTGTCTTGTGGTGTCTCACAGTCACGCCCAATTGTATCAATATTGACGGTTGTCCATCAACAGATCAGAAGCCGTCGCCGGCGCGCTGCCCGTAGCCCAGAACTCGCCCCAGAAGCCGCCGCTGGGCCTGTACGCCGAAAAGCTTTCGGGGACCGCGTTCACGGCGCCGCGGCACGAGAACAAACAGACATGGCTCTACCGAATCCTGCCGGCGTGCGCGCACCCGCCCTTTGCGCCCGTCAGCTCGCCCAGCAGCACCGACAAGACGCTGCACTACATCCCGAACCAGCTGCGGTGGGACCCCTTTGACCACAGCCCCACGGCCGACTTCGTCTCGGGGCTGCGCCTCATCGCCGGCGCCGGCGATCCCGCGCTCAAGCAGGGACTGGGCATGTACGTATTCGCCGCCGGCGCGTCCATGAACCCGCGCTCCGCCTTCTACTCAGCCGACGGCGACCTGCTGCTCGTGGCCCAGGACGGCGTGCTCGACATCCGTACCGAGCTCGGCTGGCTGCTGGTGCGCCCCCTCGAGATCTGCGTCATCCCCCGCGGCGTGCGCTTCCAGGTCCGCCTACCCGCCGGCCCCGCCCGCGGCTACGCTCTCGAGCTCTACCAGGGCCACTTTGCCCTGCCCGAGCTCGGCCCCATCGGGTCCAACGGGCTGGCCAACGCCCGCGACTTCCAGACGCCCGTGGCGAGCTTCGACGAGGACTTTCCAGGGCAAGACGGCCACGGCGCCGACGAGGCTAGCGGGAACGGAGAAAGTAATAGCAGCAACGCAAGCAGCGGGACTGCAACAAACGGCAGCCACGGCGCGGCCTACACCATCACGGCCAAGTTCAACAACAGCCTGTTCGCGACGACGCAGCAGCACACGCCATTCGACGTAGTGGCGTGGCACGGCAACTACGCGCCGTACAAGTACGATCTGGGGCGCTTCAACACCATCGGCAGCGTGTCGTTCGACCACCCGGACCCGTCCATCTTCACGGTGCTGTCGGCGGCATCAGACCGTCCCGGGACGGCGGTCGCCGACTTAGTGGTCTTCCCGCCGCGGTGGCTCGTGGGCGAGGACACGTTCCGGCCGCCGTGGTACCACCGCAACACCATGAGTGAGTTCATGGGCCTCATCACGGGCGCCTACGACGCCAAGCGTGCTGGTGCTGGCGGCTTCGTGCCCGGCGGCGCCAGCCTGCACAATGTCATGAGCGGCCACGGCCCCGACGTCGCTAGTTACGAGGCCGCCCGCAATGCTGAGCTGGCGCCCCAAAAGGTCGGCGCCGGCAGCTGCGCCTTCATGTTCGAGAGCTGCCTCATGGTTGGGGTCACGTACTGGGGCCTCGAGACGTGCCACAAGGTCCAGCCAGAGTATAATGCTCACAGCTGGCAGGGGCTCAAGGTCCACTGGAAGCGGCCGCAACCTGCTGCGGTCCCTGCACCTGATGCGCCTGCCAGTGGCGATGGTAATATTTAGTTGGTGAGTTGCTATGCAGGTCAACAACTACTTGGTTGTCGTAGAGCCTGGTTTGGCCTAGGTAGGTGCGTTGGGTAGGTAGACAGCCTAGGTACTCCGTAGGTAGGTAATGATAACGAAGATTTAGGTTTCTGGCGGGCGCGCATATAACTCTTTCGGAGTAGTATGCCTACTCTGAAGTCAACAAATAGAGGAAGATTAGCTAGTTAGTTAATTGTTTCGCTAATTCTATCCTCTGGTCTCTTCAACAGCAAAAGGAAATATAACAGCGAAATGCAAAAACAGTAGGAAATATATCCAGAAATACAAGGAGAGAACACCGTCAACAGTAAGAAACAACTCAAACAAAAAGGTCCGCTAGCTCAATCGGTAGGGCGTCTGACTACGAATCAGGAGGTTCCAGGTTCGAGTCCTGGGTGGATCGAGACGAGTGTGCTGCACGGCGTGGCAGTTGGCGAGTCATGTTCGGTTTCTTTTTTGCTTCCTTTTTTTGTTACGTCTCGAGGGTCGAGGGTTATATCGGGTGGGCCCGCTTTGTGTAATCTAACCTGAGCTATTATTCACCACGAGACACCAGCGCTGACTTTTTGGTTATGTATATGTGTAGGTAGGTAAGGAAGGTACGGATCATACGTTGAGTTCAGGGACCTAGATGACCTCTTTTCCTGGACTCTAATGCCGGTTGGGTTGGACTGAGTTGAGTTGAGTTGGGATTGTTTTGCCTGAGAGGGACTAATTATAACTAGGATCCCTTGTCTATTTTGTCTCTAGTCGCCCTTTTGTTCTGTAGGTATCTAACATGTCTCTAGGTACGTATATATATGTCTCTCGTTAAGCTTATTACATTCGTCCCAAGCCTCGTCTCCCGGCGATGGATGTATCAGAGGTAATGTATCCCCAACGGCTTCTTCTCCCAGCCCTTTAGGCCTAATGCCAAGTAAAGTGGCCCGTCCATGTCACGCCCTTAGAACCGGTACAGGAAACTCGCTCGCCACGCCAAGGACAGCAGTAAATATTCTTGTATGCTAGGTGCAAGCCCAGATGAGGCAAAGTCAATTTATATACACGCATGCTAGCGCCCGACGCCCTCCCCCGCCTGGCCATGCTCCCATAACCCTCCCCAGCCGACTGCAGGGAAATCCTGCCATTGTTCCTCCCAAACCGCACAAAGGTGCGTTGCAGGACCCCACCGAGAAACTCCGTTGCTTGTAGGTATGTTGTGCTGCTAGTTCAAAGCCCACCGTGTGAATAGCACAACGAGCCAGGCAGCGCAGAGACTGCAGATGCCGAAAAGATGGTATATAATATGCGAGTATTACGGCCCATGCATATGTGTTTGCTTGCTCAGGGCAATCAATAATAGGCAGTGTCAGTTTGTGGAAAAGAGACGCATACAAATGATGTAGTCTATATTAAGTCGTGTCTCGTTACGTCGTGGTCATGGCTCAACCGTGTCCGTGTGTGTATGTGTGTGTGTCGTGTATCATGATGTATGTACAGAGATATGGGCTGGTAGTTGCCCTCGCGTCGTCGGTGTGCCGGTATCAATGAGGTGGGAAGTATCGCAGACGGTTCGGGTGCGAAGGCGGTAGTCCGACTGGAGCTAATCGTCTGCCGGGGCGACGAGGAATCTGTCGGCTTGTGTCCGGGCAGAGGCGGGCTTGCTCCTGTCTATGCGAATGCCTGGTTGGGCTTGCACGGCTTCGAACGTCCAAGGAATCAGCACCCATCTGCCGGCTCACGCTCCTGGGGCTATTCCACATCTGCGGAGAAGACGTGCCACAACGCCTTGTCCTGTGCGTGCTTGCGTAGTACCGCAGACTCGCTTCCCTCGCTCGTTTGCCCACGAGTCAGTCGGACTAATGCCCCACGGGAGACGGCGGCGTCGCAGTAGCGGACTGTTGGTTCGATCCCTGCCCGCCGTCGAGAGGCTTCTGGCCGTAGATGCCGTGGAACGTAAAGAAGGTGTGGAACATGCCGTTCATGGTGGCCTTGCGCACGTCGACTAGGAACATCTCGATCTGCAGTTGCGTCCAACCAAGAGCCAGAAAAGGTCGCCGACTAAGACCCCGCAGGCCGTCCATGATTGCCGTCCGCATGAACAGGCCGCACAGCCGGAGGCGCTTGTCTCTCGGCCACAGCCCGATTGGTGTCTTGTGCGACCTGCTCCGCACATTCTCGAAGCCTGCCGCCTGCAGCTCCTCGGTCAGTGACAGGACGGCATGAAGCTCATACCCCATCGCACGCATGCCGTCTTCCATGTAGTGGTAAAAGTCTCGCAGGGCGTATGGTGTCTCGGCCGTCATTGTCTCGTCATCGCATCGCGGGTAAAAGTGCAACTCTTGGAATTCGAGATAACCGCCCGGTTTCAGGTGGCTAGAGGCCTTGTCAGCGCCCTGTGTTATTGGCCCAGAGGACTCGCTCGCGCTAGGTTTGCCCACGTACTGCATCGCCTTTTGTATGAGTCCCTTCATGTCCCGGACCGAGTGCACCACGTATCGGACGTGGATGTAGTCGTATTTGTTTTCAGGGTCCAGCCACTCCTCCTCGAAGTCGTCGACGAAAAAGTGTACGTTTTCCGGTACGTAATTCGGCTGTATCGGGGACAGATCGATGCCGGTGATTTCGGCTGCGGGATATTTGTCGCCCACTGCAAGCTTTCGGTTAGCCATGTTTCGCTCCTTGACTCTTCTCTGAGCAGTGCATCTCCGGCGTTTCTGGTGCTGCCGAGCCGGCGGACTCGAACTGCGCTCCATCTTCACATCCTCAAAAAAGAGAGCCAGCCTTGGGCATTTTCCTTCATGGCACCAGATTGGGCTTCTCGGCAGCCGGCAGTGTGAGACTAGCAAGTACCTAGCCGTTACATGTCGGCGTACAGCTAGGGTGACACAAGGCCAGCGCCTGGACACTTGTCCGACATCCCTATTCGACCATGGCGTGAAGAGTGCGGCTGCGGTCGCCCAACGAAAACCCGGCGGAAAGGAAACTCGCAAGCCACTTACGTTCCATGGCCCAAATGCCGGTTCCTGTGCCTGTTTGCGCGACATGCCGGTCAGCCTCTTTGATCCGTTGTGCAACTCAAGATAAAGGAGCCGAAGCACTTGTGCTCGGCAAACATCGACACCACAGCGAGCCCTGAGAGTTTTGGTGTCTTCTAGAGCACAGGATGGCTCTCTTCCAAGCCTGTGCCTTCGACTATGGCCGACGCTTGAGGGAATCGCGGGCTCGGACTGGGGCGGATGCAAGAACTCGCACTTACCAAGATCCAAAACCTGGGCTCCATTCTTGAACATGTCCTCGACAGGAGCATAGAAATGCGCGCCGCGGCAGAGCATCAGGCTCATAGTGTGCTTCATGTCGTCGCGGTTCTGCTCGACGTCGTCGTTGGGGAACGGGTACTTGCCGTCGCGGTAGGCGTGGTACCGCAGGCCGCCCTCGTAGACGTGTGCCCGTATCGAGCTCGTGACGGACGCCGGGTACCTGCTCATGTCGGAGTCGAAATTCGGGTCGAAGCTGGTGCTGCGGGCGCTGATGTCGGACTCGGCGCTGCTGGAGGCGGCGGCGTAGAGGGCCTCCTCCTCTTCCTCCAGCGTCATCGGCGACTGTGCCCTAGCCGACATGCTTGTCGAGCTAGAGCAGTACGTCGGCGCCACATTCGCTCCGGACCCCGAAGGCTCGCCGTTCTCGGCCCGCTCTTGCCCGTCATCCTCCGGAGTGGGAGGCATTGCGTCGGACGTGTTGTCCCGAGATGCAGATTTACCTGCGAGCTATCTCGGACAGCCAGTTCTAGAGCGGTATCGATGGTGCGTGGTGTCTGACAGGCTGCGTCATGCCACGAAAGTGTTCTGCAGTCGCTCTTTGAAAAGGCGGTTTTGGGTTGGAAGAGTCGAAAGGGAGCGGATTGAGTCGGCAGTGGGTCGTGGGCTGTACAGGTCTGGCTAGTTTCGTGCTTAAGCTCACAGGCTTGCTCCGGGTCCCGTCCTAGCCACGGTTGGGTCCGAGGGGAAGGGGGGAGCAACAGATATATGAGGTCACGGATGGGCTGCGCGCGTGTAGGGATGCTTAGACCCCTTCAATCCCGGTGGTATGGTACAGCAAGGTGCGGGTGAGGGGGCGGAGAAACAAGATGGCAAAATTTCATTGGCGAGTCGAGTTAAGGGTGGGGTGTGGGTTGAATCAAAAGGCCAGGCATAGGTCGCGTGAATTGTATTTCTTGCGCACCGCTCCCTGTCAAGCATGGCCTGGCGTCTCTCCGGTCCTTGCTCCTTGTGGCGCCGGGGGTATGGAGAGCAGTGATTTAATTATCTTGGCGTGGTAGATAGGCGCAGATGTCCCGGCAGCCTTGACGGGAGATGGCAGCGAGCAGGATTGCGACCTGGGATCCTAGGTCGGTTCCAGAACGAGAACAAGAGTGCCTTTCTCTTGTCCCGCGCGAGCAGCAGAGCGAGTACAGAGCACCTCCTGTCCTGTCCTGTCCTGTCCTGTCCTTTCCTGAACGGTGAGATGATGACGGGCTATCCTTGAGCGAGGTGTCAAGCGACGCCAGCAGTAGGCATGCGATGGATCCGGTGCAAGCTGCTCCTCGCGCAAGTCACAGCCTACAGCATCTCCAGAAACCGGAGGTGGGTAGTCCACAATCCAACTCCAGGCTCGAGTCGGTTTGGTCTGGTCTGGTCACAGCTCGCAGTATCCGCACAGCCAGGGACGCCAGCGACAGCAGGGCTGCAATTGGAAGGGATGTTCATACAACAGGACGAGGAGCAGGGGTATCCGTGATCCGGAAACAAAACAAGAACCTCGTTGGGAAGGGAGGCTCGCCCGGTCGTGCACCAAGGAAGGTTCCGGGGCTGGCTTTGGGGCTTGGGGGACTTGGGAGCCGGCAAGAATTGGACAGTCCCAGCAGTTTGGTTGAGGGGTGTGTCGACAGTGTGGGGCTTGGCATCGGAACCTTGTCGAGGACGTGGGCCGTTGACCGTGAATCGTGATGATGGAGAGGGGTGGGGCTGGGAATGGGAGAGTGCGTTCTGGAGCGGGAGTATCGGCCTCTCGGGAACTGCAAATGGATGCTGCTAGCCCAATATTGTGCAAGCTGCAAGTGCAAGACCCCTCGCCCTCGCAGCCATGCAGTCCGTGATGGCGAAGCGAAAGTTTCCCACTTAATCCGCACAAATCCGCGCTAATTCAACCCGCCTTTCCCCATCCCTTGCCCTGTTGTTGGCATCACATCAGCGGGCACCGGGCACAAAGAAGCCATCAGCATGACTTGACCCAGCCTGACGGGTCGCGGGCTCCATTTGCCGTTTTGGGGTCGAGGTCTGTCCAGGCTGGGACATACAGTACTAAGCACATATTCGTGCAGTTCGTCCGGCGGGTTTCCATACAGAGCACAGATATGCCGATTGTCCCTAGATTGTCACCTCAGGACGTGTATTCCATAGATTAAGCAGAAACCTCTCCACTCTCACCTCACCAGCCGAACGAGACGACACAGCAGCAGAAAGCATAAATCGAGACATGGCCAGACCATGTGCTGTTACCCCGCTATCCAGGATCGCTGTGGAGACTTGTTCGGGAGGGCCATTCTCCGTTGTTCGCCAAGGCAGTCGCGTCTTGCTTGATGCTTCCTTCCAAGCCAAATTCAATTGGCCCCGCGAGCGGGGAAGGCGTGGTGTGGGCCAGAACTTCGTTAGCATTTGTTTGGCTCTGCACTAAAATAAGTCGGTTCGGTTTGTTGCGGATTCCAAAACTAGCAGCAATACTCTAAAAGGTTGCAGAGTCCCGTGGCGCCTTCTTGGTCTGTCTGTCCGTCTGGTACTTCTGGCTGGTTGGAAGGAAGCAAGCGTGTAATCGCGCAACCCAACGTGCATTTACATATGGTGGCGCGCCCCAAAAGCGAAGCGTGTGAGTGGGCTAGAAGAAGAGGGTGGTGGGCCGCCGGGTTTGCTGGGTCCCAGAGAGACAGGCGGAAGGAGACAGGCAGGGAACTGCCTTCCCAGTCGGCCGGAACACACCCCCAAGTGCCAGAGCCCAGGTTTTCTTTTCTCGACCCCAACAGTTGGACCTGTCCTTTTGGTCCCGGCAGCGTGGTCCAGTTGCCCGCTTTTGTTCCTGCCAAATGATCTCTGGGACAGCCGATGGCGGGTACGAAAGTACTGGTACCGGGGTGTAGATTTTCTTACCGAGCACGAAATCCTTTCTTTTCTCTTCTTCCTTCTCTCGTGTGCTGGCGATCTCTACTCAGAGGGTGTGAACATGTTTGCACGGCCCCCCCCCCCCTTTTCCAGCTCGGCACGCTCCCGGGCAGGGCCGCTATCCCTTGCCGGAAATGAAATAAAAAAAAAAGCGGTGCCAGCGAGCAGCAGCAGCAGCAGCAGCAGCATCGTGACTGCCATCATCCATCCACCTGTCCTGCACCCCGTTTGCGATCGGTTCAGAAAGCGGTAACCACCCCCTAACCGAGTTAGGAAGGTACCCAGGAGGGGGCATCGCACCGAGGTGGGTTTAAGCGTAGCAAGATCCAAGCTTGTGCCGTTAGGGAGGGGGGGCCGGGTACCGACTCAACGGGAAGCGAGGGTCCTTGGGAGCGAACCCAGCTTCTCTTTGTCAACCCCTACTCCGTAGCCCCGTAGTAATTGGTCCGGGCTGGGGTCATGAACGACTGAACGAGAGCCAATTTCTTGTTCACAACTATTCAGGTTTTTAGAAACCAGGTCGACGACCCAAACTCGAGCGGAAACCGGGTATGCTTCTTGTTGGTCTTGCGGTGTGCGTGTGTATAAGGTAGAGAGTGTGTGCGTGTGCTGTACAAACGTGCGTGTGCTGTACAAACGTGCGTTTGTGCGTTGTGTGTTATAGCGGGTCGGATTGACGCACGCAAAGTTTTAGGTGAGTCTTCCTGGAGTCTTGGGACATTCAATGTTCACCATTTGCAACGTCCACGGTTCGGTGCCCCGCAAGTAGAAGAAGGTGGAGAGAACTCACTGTAGTTGGCACTTGGCAGTGAGCTGTAGCTGCCAACAACTCTTTGCAACGGATTCCTTCCAAAAGGCAGCCTGCCATGTCTGACAAATTGAACGCAATTTTCTACGAATCGACAGCCAGTTGAAACTCACGGCTTCTCCACAGTCGGAAAGTGACGGATTACCGCCATTCTAGCAATTAACACCGGGCTTCGATTCCCGGTCAGCTCAGGGCCTCTCATTTGCCTGGGAACGGCCCCTGTCCCTGACTGACTGAGTGCGATGTGTCCCCGCCCCTCCCAAGGCTCTCCCGTCCCAGCGACTCCAGAAGGGTGGGGAGCAAAAAACGAGGGGCAGCGGAGCGGCAGCGTGCGGCGGTGCGGTGGGTGACTTGACTGCTGTGAGGTGAGGAGCTAAACGTCACATTTTCTGCAGTGAGCGCACGCGGACCACGCGCGTGCTTTTTTTTCCAGGTTCCATTTGTCGGGCTATCTTGCTCACTCTCTGGCCGGCCCCCTGGCCCACCGTAAATTCTTCTCCAGATATCGCCTGTGCCGTCTTCCAAGCTCCCACGTAGCATCCTCCATCCATCCAGAGAGAGAGGCCCGACTCCGAAGTGGATGTGCGCTGTTTTCGATCAAATTTGCCCGTCCCCCCAGATGCGTCTCACCGCTACGACCCACGTTCCCCGCTTAAGTTGTTTTTAATTTTTTATTCGTTCCTATTCGGCGGTCGAAACACTTTAGACTACGGTTCCGTAATGGGCTCGCGTTTGGTCATGCCCAGGTAGCCCGCCTCTGGTAGCCCCTCTCATGGGCCCAGATAACCTTGCCTGGCTGCAGGGGTGCTCCTTCCAGGCTCCTTTCCCATGTGCCGACATCAGAAAATTTCCGTCTCGCTGTCGGAGCGGTGCCTACTGCCCAATGCGGTTAGGGGAAACAGCTCCGCCGTGCTTCCCAAAGTCCAAAGTCTAAACCCCGACCGCCTCTCCTTTACTGCATTCTTCCTCTTCTGGGGAAGATCAGCACCAGCGGATCATCCAGACAGGCCTTGCTTGAAAAAAAAATTTTACGATCCGTTCCTACCTATAACTCGGACCAATCCATGGTGAGATCTCGTAATCAATGGCACAAGTTGCAACACGTCTAACAACCCGTTTGACCCGTGGCACATAACGCCATCTCGTTTTGATCCATGCAGGACGTCTGCCTCTGGTCTGCGGTGTAACACTCGATTTCATGCCCGCGCAAGCAATTGCCGAGAAGGGCATATCATGTACGAGTATTATGTGGGCAGAGATTTGGTGTTGAGAGGCCAAACTAGACGGCGAGTTGGACTGTTAAATTGGACTCGGTCGTTAATTCGACCATCCAACTGTCAGCGATAGCGTTTCTACAATTATTTCCCAGGCTCTCGGGAACATCCAGACAATGCCAGCAGCCTCATTCGAAGCTAGCTAAGCCAAGTTGGGGCACTGACAGGTAGAGGTGCCTGCGTGCGTACATACGTGGTGTAAACAAGTGCAATAGTGACCCCCAAAAGCGCCACTGCAACGGCCCGTGAACAAGTCAAGTGCTGTCCGGCGTCTCGGGTTTCCCATCCTCTCGGGACCGGCCCCGGGTGCCCGGCGTTTGCATGCATGCATGTCCGCCCGCCATGCCCACAGGCCTGCCTGCCTGCCTTCTTTCTCCCCTTGACGAATCCCAGCGGCAGCGATACGCGGATCTCCCCGCAAACGCTATTTTGTTATTCGCTCTCTTGCCTTTCTTAGCTAATGACCCGTGCGCGAAGAGCGAAGTGACTTTTTCGGCGTTTTTACGCGTAGAAAGTTACGTTGCCTGTCTACCTCCCTAGCCAGCACATCCTCGCTTGACACGTCCCTGGACAGTCGTGGGTAGTTACTCCGGTCGGTCAATCGGCCGGTTGGTCGGGCAGTCAGCCTGTTTGTTTCAGCAAGCCCCAGTGCCAAGCCAGCCGTTTGTCTGGTTCTCTTCTCTTCCTATTACCGAAGAAGGGCTAGCCCGCCCGCCCCTGTCATGTTCGGGTGTCACTTGCACCGACGGACGCCGACGAGTCCCGCGGTTTCTGACACGGCATGCAGCTGCAGCAAGCAGCAAGCAGTAGGCAGCAAGCAACAGCCCTCCTCTATTCTGTCGACACCCCTTGATCCTGTCCCGAGATGTTATGTGACACACGGCCCTGGAACCTCTTCGCCAGGCGCTCCTCGGTTATGCGAAACGCCCGGGGGAACCAGCTGTCGAGCTCGTTGTTGGCGTCGCGGCCCTCTATCATATCCACCAGCGCCCTAGCGCACATCCAGCAGAGCACCATGCCGTGCCCTTGAAACGCCGAGGCCGTCCAGAGACCGCCGCCGTCGTCGTCGGCCCCGCCGTGCGGCATCTCGCCGACAAGAGGGAATCCGTCCGGGGTAAACCCCATGATGCCCGTCCACTCAGCGCGGACGCGACCCGCCGGGTCGTCTTCGCCCCAGTCGGGCCCAAAGTACCGGGGCGTGGTGTCACGCAGGTAGGCGCTGACGTCGGGGTTGAGCGCCGTGTCGTCGGTCGATCCGTACTCGTACAGACCCTCGTCAGCCGCTCCGCGCACCAACCCACCGCCCATAACGATATCCCCCGCAAACCGCGACCCCGGCGGCCGCGGTACCATGTACTCGTAGCCGCCCTCGTAGATGAAGCTGTACGTAGTTGGCAAGCAGCCGCCCGCGGGCAGGGAGCGCCCGGGCCGCTGCGCCGTCACCTGCCCGCGCAGCGGCACCACCACACCCTGCAGCCGGGGCACGAGGTGCGCGGTGTAGCCGTTGGTCGCCAGCACGACGCGGCGCGCGGCGATGGTCCCGCGCGGCGTCTGCACTAGCCAAGCTCCGTCCCTGCCCTTCTCCCGCCGCAGTGCTAGCGCCGGCGTGTGCGTCTGCAGGTTCAGGCCGCGCGCCAGGCAGAGCCTCAGCACGCCGACGCCGAACTTGTACGCAGATAGGCTGCCGGCCGGGTAGACGACAGCGCCCGCGACGGGGTCGGGGCGGCCGCGGAAGGTGGTCGCGTGGCAGTGGAAGCGCGCGCGCACGGCGTCGGGCCCGGCTACGAGTTCGTACTCGGCTGCTGGGTCGTAGGGCCCCAGCGCGGCGTGCATGGCCGCGACCGCCGCGACCGCCGCCTCCCACTGCGCGGCGTCGTAGATGATGTCGACCGTGTCGCAGGCGACCGCATCGCAGTCGATGCCGTGCAAGCGCGCGAACCCGTGCACCTCCCGGATGTTGGCCAGCTCCAGCCGCGCGATCTGCGCTGCCGCTGCCGTGCTGCCCAGCGTCGAGACGTGGTGCGCAAACGTCCGGTACGAGGCTGCTTTGGTGTGGCCGCCTAGAGATGGGAGACAAAGGGGCAGCTTTAACCAGTTGTTTTCCTGAGAGCTGCGTCGTGTTTACGGCGACTGTCTGTTTGTGGCCCCGTCATGCAGAGAGGGGTAAAAGGAAGACATGGGAGCGCACCGTTCCGGCCCGTGGCGCCCGAGCAAGCCTGTCGGGCCTCGAGCATGACTATGCTCCTGCCCGTCTGGTCTTCATTCTGCTGCAGCCCCCACGCGGCGGCGGCGCCGGTGATGCCGCTGCCGACGATGACGACGTCGGCCGACTCGGGGAGCGTCTCGGTGGTGCGCAGGTCGGCAACGGCTGCGTCAGGCAGGTCTTGCCAGTAGCTGCGCGTTGGGTCGTCGCGGGGAAGCGATACGGGGATTCGCGCCCGCTCGTCCATTGTCTTTGTCTCGGTGTGTCTGGTCGGCTTTCTCTCTTTCTCTCTCTCACGGCCAGAGAAATAAGGGATGAGGCATTTCCCGAATCATGCTGCAGGCGCGGTTGCACAGGCACGGGCACGGGCACGGTGCGTCGACGGGCGAGGGTGGGTGTTGGGCCGAGTGCGTGCTGACGAGCTGTCAATTGTTTCTACGAGCCGTTTTGGGGGGATGCCGAGCAGGATTTGAAACCGTGTAACCCTAACCCTAGAATCATCCTAAATATGGCGCCCATTGTGTCGTTGTTTCTTCCCTTTGAGGCACGGTCACTTGTCTTGAGGGCGCTTGACTGGGAAGGTGCGTTTTCACTTCTAGGTAGTCCCTTCATTTCTCAGCTGCAAGTTCCTCGTCGATACTTAACGCGATCCTCATAAATACGATTCTGATTCCTGTTTCATCCGGTCAACCCCCCGATCCCAAAGCCCTCGGAATCCTCCGTTGGGGCAATACCATAGACGCGCCCTTATGCAGTACTCTCGTCTTTCTCTGTCATATTTCCGTCTTCTGTATCCCTTTGTCTTTGCCGCAGCCTAGCCAATCCCCCCATCTGCAAAAGGTATCTGCAAAAGGTGCTTGATCGTTTCGCGCTGCGTGATGATGACCCAGATGGTGAACACCAGCGCCGTGCTCGGCAGGGTGAAGGCCAGGTACACCCAGAAGTTGTCTTGCACGACCAGCGACGCGTCCCACTTCAGCAGAGGCATAGCGAAGACGGTCGCCAAGAAGGTGGCCGGCAGAGAGGTCATGGTCACAACGGCCACCGTCTTCATCGACGAGCTGTCGTCCTTTGCGGCCTTGGCCAGGCTTATGCTCGCGTTGGCGTCCGATTGAGCGATGAGGTTGTAAAGCTGACGTGCCGTGGTCAGCAAAAACCCTGCATTTGGTTCTGCGTGAAACAGAGCGGAAACTTACAATGTTCATCTGAAGCGAGACTGGTATCTCAATCACTGCAACAGCCCGCGCCATGTCCTGCGCGTGCAGTTGCAACAGCGATGCAGCCGTTGCAATCTCATCCCAAGCTTCGTCAAATTGCTGCTGTCGGTCCCTCGCAACCTCGATTTCTTTTAGCCCCTTTGGGTCTGATAGCAGAGCCAATATAAAGTCATCAATCACCCGAATCGTCCACCCAATGTTGGCAGCGGACATACTTCTCCTGCTCGCTTCTTTGGTTAGTGTCATGTACAAATCCTCGCTGGGGTTGTCAGTCTGTCTTTCCATACCAAACCTAGTTCCAGTACTTTTCTCCATGGAAACTACAGCCCCGTAGTCATCAATCAGATCAGAATTGAGACTCAAGTGGCTCGCTGCCAAAGTCATGAAGCCCGGAAAGAGTGGATGTATAAAGCAATGTTTGGCGAGCATGAACCTGTCGTGCAGAGAATCCATGGCCCAGTATTTGGCAATGAGAATGACACGAGTCGAGCAAGTCCATTGTTGATAAGACCAAAACATTTGGGTTCCCGAGGAGCTAGCCAAGAGAAACGAGATAATGTGCTGGTAGGAATTGGGGTTGCTTCTGCTCTTTGTTATAAAATAGAAAAATCCTACATGCATGACAAGGTGCGTGAGCCCCAAAGCGGGTTTAATTCCGAACGCGTTGAAGACCATATTGTAGTTTTTCTTCTCAATGCCTAGATAACGGGCATTTACGTCCTCTTTTCTGATCTCGAGAAGCCGAAAGTCACCGCCCGGGGTTGTCGAGTTTGCGGGCAAAGGCACGGGTTTCGTCGCCCACTCTTCCAAATCGGTGGCCCCAATAGACCGTTCACGGATTCGAAACCGATTGGAATCATCTCCGCTCGTGATGCTCTCCGGCGCAGTGTATCTGTCGGGAGCCGAACCGGCTTTACGGAACAAATATCTACATTCGTCGACTTCCTTTTCAGCGAGCTGTCTGAAAATACCCATTGTGTTTCGCGGGACGATGACAATGGCCGGCTTGGGGGTGAGGACAAAGGCCAGGGATAGGATCTTTCGTGAAGCTATTATAATGAGAGGGGTGTGCCGGAGCATTTCATGGAATAGCTCAACGACAAAATTTGTAGAAACCAAGTGAGGCTCTGGATCCCGTGGTTGCCTGCGCGCGATTGTTGTGCATGAGACCTCCCGGACCTGCTCTTTTCGGCCGCTCAGATTTTAGCCCAACCGGACGTCCACTCAGACAGCCACCCATAAACAGCGTGCATGACTCGCCAAAGGAGAGTAAATCTATTAAGTCTAGAGGTTCCGATGCTGCCAAACTGGGAAGAAACCTACAGAATATTTAAACTGGAATTTTTAACTGCTCACCTCATGCTCTCACAACTACATTTGCTGTACGCCCTACCTGCTTTACGTAATTCATCATTGGCCATGGTATGATCGATTCACCCTAACTCGATTAAACCAGTTCATATAATGTCCAAAAAGATACCTCCCTATTCCAGAAGCCAACCCTCATCCTGCCCGACCAAGGGCAGCAACGTTATCAATAGCATGAATTCAGGCTGCAGAGCCAAGCCACCAACGGCAACAGCATGATTCACAGCAGGGGTTCCAGCTCTAGAAAAAAACGAAATTCGCGACCATAACAATCCCAAACCACTTCGGCGTCGGCAAGTCAACCGCTTCTGCATGTTCATCAGTTCACGTAGAGCTTCAAAAAACAGCTTTAGTGGGTATTTGAATACCTTTGATAAGTATTTTCCTTGTTCTCGTAGCATAAGATGGCACGAGGAAAAGTGTATTTACTCTGACTGGACGCAGCCGGTGTCGGCTGTGATTGGTCTTGCGTTTCTCGTTGCCGTCCACCTGACAACCGAGGGGCCAGAGCAACACTCAAGAAAACAATGAGTTGTAATAATGATGCTAGTTTTTTAGGTATGAGGGGTTCACATATACATAAGCTAGGTAGGGTTTGATCTGATATCTGATGGCTGCTGTTATTTTCTATGGGGGCCTACCTAGGTACCTAACTCACTTGCACGTCCCTCCTATTCCCGCTTCATTCGGCAGAGCAGAACGCTCGGTAGTTTAGTAGCCGCCATTACTCCGACGCGCGCGGCAACCATTCGATTACAATCATCACGACCGACAATGCCTTACTCGGAGCCGACACCTTATCGCCGATGAGTCGGCCGCATCCGAAACGAGTACAGTCGAAGGCTCTCTCCCTATCACCACGTTCTGTTATTCTGCCACCTACTTACGATCTGGGATGATGGGTGAGTTCAACCAGGCTTCTATCTTCGCTTCCTATCGACGCGGACCTCTCCTGTCGAATGAAACCTTCAAACTCTTGCTAAGGTACAGCAATCTAGACGCCACATTGAGGCCCCCGACCGGAGCCTCACGCCTGCCCCAGCACTAGGAGGAGATCGATGGTCAACTCATTCACATCTTCCCTCTATGTCGGCCCGGGCTAGATAATCGGCCGAGGCTCGGGCAAGTAGAAGTTCCTATGAGTGGGGAGTTCTTCCATCGGGTTAAGAGAATAATAATCAGAGAGTATAGGCATCGACATCCACTGAACAGCCAATCTCCCTTCGAGAGAGCTTTCGCAAAAAAAGACTAGCTCAATCCATGTACATCCCTTACTCGCTACGACCCCCACAAGATCCAGATACGCTCGGATAGCCATCTAATAGGATTCCCGCCCCTCCGAATCCCCAGCGACGATAACCAGCTCGAATGGACACCCGACTCAACAAACCCCCAACCCTCCTCCCATAATCCTCCTCCTAAAACCCTATAATAATTAACAATCAAACAGCGCCACAATGTCCTTGTCGCCGCGGTCGCGGGTTTACATCTCGGGCGTACACTTGCCTCGGTGGTCGCACGTGTCGCCGTCGACGCGCGGGCCGTCGTTAGGCGGCGCATCTGGGCCCTGCAGCCGCTCTGCGCGGCGTGCGGCAGCGGCGTGCACCCGTCGACATCAGCTAGGTTGGCGTCGACGACATGGTGGTGGTTGTCGTCGTGGCCGTTGCACCGCAGAAGCGCGTCGATGACTGCTGTGTTGAAGACGTCGTGGTAGCGTCTGGTGGCTGCCGGGACACATCGTGTTGTCGCTGGCGGGCTTGGTGGGCGGTAGCTTGCGTTGTTGTCGATACGTATAGGCGGGTGTGCGAGGCCGAAGGTTTCTCCGGCGAGGATGACCGGCGGCTCGAGAACCGCGTACGCCAGCGGTGTGCGCCCGAGCATGTCGGCGCGGTTGACGTCGGTCCGCCGGTCCGCGAGCAGGCACCTTACGATGTCTATGCTCCTGGCCCGGCCTACGGCGTAGGATAGCGGGGTGCGGCCGCGCGAGTCCTGCGTGTTGATGTCGACGCGTGGGTCGGCCAGGAGCGCCGCGACGAGCTTTTACTTAGTCGAGTCGGGTGGCTGCGGCTGTGCTTTGACTGCCAGTGTCAGGGCCGTCTGTCTGTCCGTACATGTCTCCGCTGTCTGGGTCGACGTGGGGGTCGGCAAGGAGTAGGGTGGTTGTGTTGATGAGGTGGCGAGCGGCCGCGTAGTGCAGGGCTGTCGAGCCCAGGGCCTCGCGGTGCGTGGGGTTGACGTCGGGGTACTTCAGGTCCGCAGACATCAACGATGTCGTCGATGTCGTAGGAGGGGCCGTCGAAGAAGCCGCTGTCCTGGTCGCCTTCCTCAACGACGACAATTTCGGCCATGTATAGGTCGGGCAGCGGCATTTGGACAAGGGTCATCCAGGGTAGAAGGCGGAGAGCAAGCTGCTTCAGCTGTGCGTCGTCGATGCTAGTGATTTTCTGCACGGCAAGGCCGTAGTGCCCTCGCGCGTGGTCCATGGCGCCGAAAGCGGATTTGATTGTCGCGAAAGGAAAAAAAGGAAAAACAGAGAGTGGCCACGGGTAATAGCACGCAAGATAGCGTGCGAAAGGTTGAAGGGGGTGAGTGAAATGCTGGATTGGATTGCGTGAAGAATCATCAGCAGCGTTCCGCCCACCAGTGCAAAAAGTATTTGGTAGAAGGCAGTCTGTGTGCGCGGGGTTGATTTCCGGCCGAGCAGATTGCTTTTACGTACCGTATTCAGGGCTTGGTACCGTGGTACGTGGCCGGGACTGTGTCCTGTATTGGAAATAATAGAAGGTGTTGGATGGAAGCTGTATCGCGGTCGAGGCGTGAAAACTGAACAGTCGACACTTGGTCGGGCATGAACAATGAACAAAGACGCCTGTATTGTTTTGGTTTGTACGAGGATCTTGCGTCGCAGTAACGGGCAAATCGAGTTGATTCTGCTTTGTATACCTTACCGCTTCGTATTCGTCCTAATCGTGCATGGCCTGGTTAACAAGAGGTCGGCTTCGTTGATCGGAAATTGGCCTTCTTTTATCGCCGACTTCCCTTGGTAAAGTGGACGTTACGACGATAAAATGGAAAGGGCCCGCTTCTAGATTGCAGATTTTTGGAGATCCATAGGCCGGCCCTTTACCTTCCTATATATAGGACTTTCCTACCCTCTTTAGTTTCTTAGTTCCTCCTCCTGTCTATATTGACTAACTAGTTTGACTGCCCGGCTTAATTGACTGCCCTGACTGCCCTGACTGCCCTGACTGCCCTGACTGCCCTGACTGCCCTGACTGCCCTGACTGCCCTGACTGCCCTGACTGCCCTGACTGCCCTGACTGCCCTGACTGCCCTGACTGCCCGGCTTAATTGACTGCCTTGACTGCCCTGTTCAACTCCCATTCGTCTTTATTTGATTGATGCCTTCCTAATCTTTGCTCCAGTTACATATAAAAACACCACACCGGGTAGCTAACGGTGCGACTCCCCCACATCATTCTACGGCACGTGTGACGCGTTGAGCGTAGAGGCTACGGCAACGCGTCAAGAAGAAACGGCGACACACAATGCTCACGCGGGGCATCGTCACGTCCACGCCACAACACAAAGTCTACAGTTTCCTAGAGAGCGGCACGGCACAAGAATCACAGGTAATCTTCTTCGCATCTCAAGTAAAGACCCAAGACTGCAATGAAAAAAAAGCAAGGCTCGCATCTTCTGGAGGCAGTGTAATACCAGAGACACAGTGGAGTGTTGCCACTCCGGGTTTCAAAAATTGTGTTTCCACATCCGGTATAAGGCAGAGATATTTATGCGGAATCTGGAGGGAAAAAAGAGAAAGAGGAAGGGAAAGAGAGAGTCGAGGGGGTTTTATAGAAAATACTGGTGGTCCTCGCACGTCTGCAGATTTCAAAAGTGGGTCCTCAGGTCCCTCCCATCACGTCACCCCCTCCTGCCGCCTGCCTGCCTGCCTGCCTGCCTGCCTGCTTGCCTGCTTGCCTGCCTGCTTGCTGCCTTCCTGGGGTGTGGGGCTATGGGCGAGGTGGAGGGAGAGAGGGGTGGGGAGGCTGCCTGGGCGCTTGCGTAAGCCTGGGGCGACCGCCAGTGGCTGATTGCTATGCTGCGCTGCCTGGTGCGAGGAACAGGCGAAAAAGACGCGGGCGCGCGTCTGGTTTGGTGGCTGCTTCCGCGGCTTGGTGATAGAAGACGTAGTCACGTATTCAAAATGTGCTTGAAGACCGGCAGAGGTAGGGCACGAGAACACCTGTAAGGAGGGAATATGCGTAAGTAGGACGATATCAAAGGTGCCGACTGTCTGATGCCGCGTCCCGTGAGGAGGGAGGCAAAGAATCCTCCCTCGAGTAGACAGTTTTCACGTTCGTACGAGGGCACCGCGGGCATGTTGCAAACTTTTGCGTGACTGACTTGCGCAAAAATTGATGCCGATCTTCGCGTTCGAGCCAGGGTTCAACCAAATAACAACAAAAACTACTTCGATAAATAGCGTCACGCTGCCGCCCTTTCGGACGCGTCTTTTCCAGTAGATAAGAGTCCCAATACAATGGTGATAGCTTCTCGCGCCAGAGGCCAGACAGTGTTCACGTTTGCAGGAGGGCGCTGCGGACACGTTGCAGATTTTTGTGACTCTCGTGCTCCAATATCCGCGTCGATATTCTCGCGTTTGACTATTAGATAATCATTCTACGTAAGCGCGTTGGTAGTTTGAAGCACATTCATAACAGGGCATCACGGGCTGTTACAGACTTCCGACTATCTCTCTCAAGACCACTTATGAATCTATCTCGGGTTTGGCCTCGTGAAACCAGGCTGCTAATTACCGCCGATATATCAATAGACACGCGGTCCAGCTACGCTCGCATGGTCGCGTACTATCTAGCAGACAAGACTAACTATTACTGGGGACAGATACAACTGGGGACAGGTACATAAAGACACAATCACAGCGAGGATAGTGGCTTCTTCCCCATAGCACCACTCTTGAGCGGCGATCATAGCGAAAAAAATTCAGAAGAAGGGGTGGGTTACTAAATTTATAGCCCCCGCGGCCCCGAAGGACAATAGATAGTAGAGAGCAACCGCGGAGTGCAATGCAGGCTCTCCACTATGGAGCAAGGGAATCTTGATCTCCCTGCCCCGAGCTACGGTAAGTATGAGGGAAGAAAAAGAGAAAGGAAGAGGGAGAGAGGGGCGTAGCAGCTTGTTTTATAGGAATCCCAGTTGGTCCGTGCACGACTGTAAAAATCGAGGGATCCCTCTTGAAGGCAATTGTGGGCCGGGCGTTGAAGCAGCAGCAGCAGTCGGAGAGGAGGACCCACCCAGGCAGCCTGGCACCCAAGCAACCCACCCAGCAGCAAGACACAATTGGGGAGAGGCACGACCGGGCCAAGCCAGACTCGACCTTGCGACCAGCGGTGGTGAAGTCGTCCAGGCCTTGTTCTCCTGTTTCACTTTATTCTTGTCTTCTCGATCCAGGCACCACTCAGACTACCTTGGGCTACCATCTCTGCGACGTATGATTTGGATACGGCGTGATGCCTCGTTTTGAGCATGCAAACCACCCAGCCTCCATCCTGAATCGAATCGCAGCATTCGGCAGTAAGATTCCTCAAGGCCCTTGCTCTTCAAGTCCGACAACTTCTAATCAGATTAGCATGCTGGAAGACCTGGCCTCTTCAAGCTCTCGAAATCAACGCACTCGGCAAGCCTGGCCTGTTTGAGCGGCGGAGACGGCTTACTCCTTCGCGTCTCCCTTCTCGGCCACGTCAGCCCTTCTCGGTCACGTAAGCCTTTCTCGGTTCGTTCAAGTAAGCCCTTCTCGGTCACGTAAGCAGCATAGTCATTCGTTACTATTTTACCCTAGCTAGGTCTTATTTCTATCCCTTGATGGAGAGGCTGTAAAGCTTGGAGGCTAGTTATATCTTTCTCGGAAATGATTCCAGTACTAACTTCTAGCTTCACAGTAAGCCAAATTTTCACGAGATCTCTCTTCAAACCTTCCACGAACGGTCGTCGCCAATGCTGAACCTCTTTTATCCGCCTCTCTATACTGGCTAAAGACGCCAATGATGTCTTCTTATTCATACCGGATTTCTTTCCTCGTAGATTTGAGCGCCATCTCGGTCTTCTTGAGGTGACCCCTCATAGACTCCTATACTTGCTTTATTTCCTTCGTATTAATACAAACTCGTTTCTATCCATTAGATATCTCTCCGAAGATAGTTATCCTGACCTAGACAGTCATGGCTGGACTGGATTACGACGGCACCTCCCCAGATACACTAGCTCGACTTCTACGACAGTACAAGGCAAACGAGCAGAAGAAAAGTATACCTCGGTAACCATACCCGAAGCTTCTATTCGACAACCCACCCATCGGCTCCGCTTTTGCTTCCGCTCCCTTGCTGCCTTTGGCTTCCGAAATATCTCTTTAGACGGCTAGGTTCTCTAAATCACGCCCGAACAAGAGAACCGACGAATACCGACTTCGAGACCGGCGGAATCGTAGGATCCGAGCCGCGAGAGGGAGAGTCGAGAAATAACCTTCGGGATTTCAAAGGTTTCCTTGTCTATCTATAGCTGAGACTCCCGCGGCAGCTCGATAGGCGGTAAGCACTACAAGGACTATGCCTCGCTCTCAGCCTCGCCGTCAGCCTTGCCCGAACTTCCTGCAGCCCCTCGGTTTTCGTCTTGGAACTAAGTCTAGGGTTGGAGCAGAAAGGTTTGAGGTATGTTGGCTTATTTACCAGCTTCTTCTCGTTTCAACGCTCTTGAGGACTGCAGCAGCTGAGCTAATTTTTCTATTCTTTTCAGAACAAGTCAAGAAGATGGGGCCATAACCACTTCTAGCGAGTTGACGGGAGACTTTGCACTGGATCTAACCGCTTCCCCCTCAGAATTAGTAGTTCAAGGAGAAAAATGAATAAACCGAAGAGAAGGGTGGCCGTTAAATAGAACAAGCCGGTTCATATTGAGACGGGAGGATTTGCTCACGGTATGCAAACATCTCATAACAAGATATCCCCTGGTCAGGTTTGCTA